CCACTGTGTCCTCGCAGTACCCCATTCGCATCGATCCAATTTGTTTGCTCAGCTTTACCAGTCAGAATTGAAACTTCCCAACTTCATCTCGTCTCATTCATTTGCAGATGGGTCAATGATGGTCGATGTCAGTATACATACTTCATCATATTTTTCGATATTGGGATTGAGATCCATAACAAGCAGCTACAGTATGTGGGGGACACCACACTACCAAGGTAAACTGACCACGTGAACAAAATGTCATACGTCCTTCAGCTCTCGCTGTCTGGCGCGGATGAAGTACTTGGTCAGTTGAGTCGCTTGCCTGAGAGGTTTCCCTCCGCTTCTTTGCAGGTTGGTGCGATCTCTGGTTGGTGCTTGAGCCAGTCAATCAGGACCATCATCCCATTCTCAATGGGATGGAAGATATACAAACATATACAATCATATAAATCAATATATGAAGCATCTGAAACCCCTGATCCAGTGATGCACTGAGCACGTGCTTTCAGTGCGCCTTTCGAGCAAAGCATCTCTGGATAGCTGCTCCTGTTCCAGGCTGCTTGTTTAGACTGACCCTTTGTTGTCCCTTCCCCTTTTGCCACAAATGTGGTCGCTCAAGGTCTGCTGAGCTATTCATTGAGACCTCCGAACGAATCTTGAATGCTGCTCGTGACTTCATGCTCTCAAACATCTGTGCAAGTGCAAGTGGACATGATATGATCATGATAGATAATGCCAACACCGGATGAATAAACAGCTGGGCGGTTTACCTTGAGGGTGTGAGGACAACCCCCAATTAATCAACCAGGATGAAGCAACAGTGATGTATTAATCAGAGGTTGATATGAATCGTCCTTCCATCCTGCCGCTTCAGATTATGCTCATCTTTGCTCCTCCTTTTTCTTCAAGATAAGCTCGTAGGTCTTCTCAACCTGATGTAAAGATTCACGTTGGCTCAAATATCTAAAACCTTCTTCAGGCCAGAAGGTCAGGAAATCATGTTGTTAGTTTGTACATGTTTGTACATGTTTGTACATGTTTGTACATGTTTGTACATGTTTGTACCATGTAGATGTTTTCAGCAAATTACCATGTCTTTAGTCACTGGATTTTCTTTGGGATCCATTCAGTCGATCCAAACAGTCTCTGACATCACCAGTTTTTCCCTTTTCTGGGCAGTTTCGCGAGTTTTCAGCACAAAGCCGCCTTACTCTTTCAGAGATCGGCAGAAAACGGCAGGCATGAAACATAGGGCTTGAAACACAAGCAAGCTGGCTTGCAACACCTTCACGATGACACCACAGAGCGTGATAGAGAGAACATGCAATGTTAGTCAAGCAACAGAAAACCATCCCCAACTTTACCATAGACGGGTGGTATAAACCATGAAAATATGGTCGTTTGTCCTTGCTGTACTAACATTCGAGTGCAGTTCGTGATTGCCAGCTTCCATATTATACAGGTCGCACTTTGTGCGCCAGGTTGCCAGGATTCGACATGGTATGGAAGTGCCCGGCTCAAGGTCTGTTCACTGAAGCCCAAAAGGTCTGTTCTGTGCAGCGCGTTGAAGTTCTGGTGACTGTCTATTGCTTTTGCCAAATTCCAAATTCCAAATCTATAGTATTCCATCACAATCTAGAATACAGTAATCTAGAATCAGCTACAATACTCTATATCATTCTGTATCAGCACATTTCGCAGGTACGCTCCAATTCTCCCGTGACGTTTCGGTTTCAGCGAGTTCCCGCAGGCGTTGCCCGCAAAAGATGGCCCGCATGCCCGGGCGAAGATGACGTGGCTGCGGAAGGGAAGAGGTGACATAAACCACACCTCTTCCAGTCGAATCAAGGACTAAGTATGCTAGCAATGCTCAACTGCGAAAAAAAAAGACGATCTATAAGTCCAAGACATCCAAAATACCATGGAGATGTGTTAAGCATCACTATTTCCTATTTCGGCTTCGTGGCAGCCAGGTACAGAGCTTACGCTCTCATTTTCTGAGCCATTGTATTCAGACATTGGACAATACACGCTCGGAGCAGGCTCGGTCAAGCTGTGTAACACAGCGGCTGAGATTCCAGGTGCAGAAATGGAGTCACATATGGCCAAATGGTTTGGCAGACTGCGCATTGCCCTCTCCACAGACACAAACTGTGGATGTTACATCATATTACATAAACATCATCAACATACTTTGGGTCTATGGCCAGGCTCGAGTACTCCAAATGACGAGGTGGCAGGTAGCACTGACTGCTGGCCCGTATTACGGACGCTGTCCTCACACGGAACCCGTTTACACCCAGGATGTGGTGACACGTGTCCATGAACATAGATCATATGCAAGTGGGTACCCAAGCACAAATCATAAATATATGTACATACATAGAAAAGTGTGTGCGTGTGTCTCTGTAATATATATATATATATGTGAATAAGTGTGTATGTATAAGTATATATAAATAGTATGTGCATCTATCTAGATCACGCACGTATTTTCCAAAACTGAATTCTCTTCCAACATGTTTTTTCTGCGTCCAAGAGTCTATCCTTGCGATCACGAAATTGTCCGGCCCATGGTGCTCCTCCCATCGTAGCGCCGACCTGCGGGAAGCCCATCGAAAATCACCGATTCGCACGGATCTATGATGAAATGATGGGACTAACGAGACTAAATCTGATACATATAAATATGTATACATACATACATACATACATGCATACATACATGCATACATGCATATATATATATATATATTATACACGTATACATATATATATACTACATATATATATATATATTACATATATATATGTTGATATCAGATCCCAAACATCAGCCCATTGCAGAGGGATCAATTTCAAGAACCACCAAAACATGAAATATCATGAAAATTCCACCTCACTGCTCTAAATGACCACCGAGTGCTTGTTGAAAGCCCTCCCTTATCTGCAAACCCTGCATCCCATGTCGGCTGAAAGCAAATGGCCATTCATCAAGATTTGCCATGACGGTGAAGACGGTGATTCGCCAAAAAATGCCCATCAGAATGGTTAGATCTTGAGATTCTGGCCGAAGGTTTCAGATTATTCCAACGCTTGGTGGTTGGGCCCTAATAATATGTGGTTAATATACCTGGTTAATAATGGTTAATAATGGTTAATAATGTAAAATCCATGGGGGGTTCCTTTGTGAATGGTTGCCCTCCAGGCCTGCCGTTGCTGGTCGTTCACGCTCCTCACCTGTCAGGGCTTAGTAAAGCTCCATTTTTGGGGGATATGAAGAATGCCTGCATCGATGTTGATACAGCCAGCACCCATATATCAATATCTGGTGATTTTCGATTTGATGTTAATTTCACTGATGTCGTATCCATGCATTAAATAATTAATTAATTAACTAGTTAATTAATTAACTAATTACTTAATATTATACATATAACATATATATATGTTTGGAACAGATATATGGATATACATATATATATATAATTATATATATGTGTGTGTGTGTGTCAATGCACGTTCATACCTCAAATAGTGATACTTCATCACAATCTGCTACCAAAAGGGTACCATCAGCCCAGGGGAAAATAGAAATCCAGGCTTGATATTATTCTGGGTATCATACGGTTTTATGTGGGAAACCTGCCATGGCATGGGGATATATATAACCTTTCTGATAATGTGTACACCTCTACATAATATATCATCAACAATATGATAAGGGTTCGTCCAGAAATGGGCCATACCCGTCATACGTCATGATTGCCAATGAACTTTATGATCTTAGTAAAGCAATCATAAACCACCCATAAGTTGATGATTTATACCACCAATTTATGGTAAAAATCAGGATGGTGGGCGCTATTGGTTTACTAACATTCACAAAATATAGAGGGTTTCTAAAATAGGGGTAACCCCTGCATCATCCCATTTTTAACTAGGATTTTCCGTGAAACCATCCAGCTATTGTGGTAGCCCTAGCCAAGCAACCACGGTAGCTGTTCGCAGGGCTACGATCTCCGATACGGTCTCCATAGGTCAAAGCGGAGCGCGAGGGCGCGTCAGAGAGCCTCAAGTGTGGGATTTCCCCACCATTGCGGATTGAATGGGAATAGATATGTAATGGGATTAACCAACTACAATGTGATGTTGGATGTGTCTGAAAATGCGATAGTTCATGCTATGTTCTCCCTCTCTCTCTAATTCTCTCTTTCTCTCCCTTTCTCTCCCTTTCTCTCCCTTTCTCTCCCTTTCTCTCCCTTTCTCTCCCTTTCTCTCCCTTTCTCTCCTTTTCTCTCCCTTTCTCTCCCTTTCTCTCTCCCAATTCATGGCAATTTTGATGTGGAAAATTATGACAAATCATGATAGTCGTTGGATTTGCTGGGTTTTCCCTTAAATTTCAAACAACCCGACTGGAGGATTAGCCCAATAATTACTCTCCGTTCATGTTGTATCCATAATCTCGGCTGTATCCAATGGGTGTGTCTACAATGGGGGATAGGCCCGAACAGCAATCTCAATAGGGGGGTTCCATGCGTTTCCCATAATTTTCATATTAAACTCAAATGCAATGACTTCTGACTTCCGACCTTTGACCGTCACAAAATGGTGACTTCTGCGTTAATATGTTGAATCCAAGTGTCTGTGATGAAATTCCTTCCACAGCGTTGCGAATTTCTCCGGCGCGATGGAGGTTCTGCTGAGCTGTGTCCTGCAATACCGCATAGTCAGTCGTTGAAGTATTGATGCCATCCCCAAGACATCTACCTCCAAGAAATGACCGCTATGGGTGAATAGATCCAAGACTACATCAAGGTTTTGTCTGGAAGGCATTTGCTATTAGAAGGGATTGCGGATTGCGGGTGGGTCTGCGAGCGGCAACTCTGTTCCTGAGTTGCATTGGCAATTTCCAGGCCGTTGATCTGGAGGCGCTTGAGATCTCCCAAAGACTCTTTCACCATCATGCCGTTCTCCTTCACCACATCCTTAGCAAGTAGTCTTTATGATCTTTAAATCTGCATGGAAAGTTCTTAAAACGGGGGAACCCAAGAACCTCCAAGTTACTGGCCATTTCACTAGAGAAACGCTTGCCAGGAGCTTTTTTGACCAGCGAAATGCCGTCGGCTACAAAGCCTCTGGACTACACTTCAGCAGTGCATGCCAAGAGGGCTCAAAATGCTGGAAGGAAAATCTGCCCTAATAAACGAAAACGGATCATGCACTAACTTGCACCCTTGTCGGAAGGGGACAACACCCTGTTAGGGTTAAATTCAAGGTGCTGCCAAAAAGAGGTCTACAAAATTGAAAGGCCAACTGCTTGATTTGAAGAAGGTTGCCCTCCGCCGCACTGTGGGGTTCGTGACCGCTTGCATGTCATGGAGGAGGTAAATGCCGGCTTAATCAAGAGCCATCATCCGCACAGTGATTGCCGCGGTCTCCCGGTCAGCCACTGGCGGCCCCCACACGTGAGTGTCGATTCGGAAGGGGTGCGCAAACAGATCTTCGGCAAAGTGCTCCCAGCAATGGCTGTGAGTTGAGCGAAAAAGAGAAAAACGTGCCATCACTGCGAAAATAGGAGGAATCCAAGTATGAGAGACATGCAGTCTGGGTGCCCCTAACCCAGGATGAGGGAGATCTCCAGCAGAATTAGCAGCAGAAGCCCGAAAACGACATGAAGGGAGCGTCCATCGTATTTGCGGTATTGAAAAGGCCATGAATAGGCAAATGGTTGATCCACAAAAGGAGGCACCATGACGGTAAGCAGAGTCGTCCTTGGACATCACCATTTCACAAAGAGCAGCCATTGTAGATTTCCCTTAGTAGAAAAAACAAACCTTCGTAGAATGGCAGAGCAGTTGCGCCATGGCAGAGAGAGTAGATCGATCCGCTCAATTTGCTTACGCTTGCACCAAGACCTTTACCAGGAGCTACAAGGGGAAAACAACGGTCCAGTAGTGCGTCACGACGCATGGTTTTTGCGGTGTTTTGTGGATGTTTTATCTGACACTGTTATGGTATTCCAAGTTTGTTTTGTAAAATTGAACAAAAATTCATTGGCACACAGTTTCGTGCATGTCGAACGGGGCTACAGCGAAATGCATGTGTTTAAATGTCGATCGTGTTTTCGCTACAGCGAAATTGCAATATTTGTATCAAAGAACTACTTTTTTGTTGACTCCGTTTTCTTGACAGGTGAGTTGATTGATGTTGAACGTGGCTACAGCGAAATGCATGTTTTTCATGTCGGTTGTGTTTTCACTACAGCGAAACTCATTTTTTATTTTTTGTGCCAAATTCCTTGAAAGGTGAGTTGAGTGATGTTGAATGGGGCTACAGCGAAGTGGCGAGTTTGACATCAATCAGGTACTTAGTTATTGTTGAACCCGTTTTATTGACAGGTGACCTCAGTGAAGCTGAAGCGTTTTTTTCTTGGCTTTGAGGTCATTCGAACAGCCAAGGGCTGTTTTGGTCGAGAACGAGGAACTCCTTTGGTTCATGTCCCATTGCATTTTTGAACCTTTCTCGAGCTTGTCCTATGGCTTTGAGGACATTCATCAGACCAGGTTGACGCAAGAGTCTGCATGAGCGTTCGATGGGTTTCCATGTCCAAGTGCATTGGTCCTTCGCAGCTGATACTTTGTTCGATTCACTTCAAATTCTGTGGCGTTATCTCCACCGACAATTTGAAACACTGTTTTGAGTTCCAGAGCTGCTTTCTTGCCGCCACAAGGAGATTTGGCTGCCTTATGCAAGGTTTTTTCTGTTTGTCAGAAAGTTTCCATTTTGGAATCGAAACCAGAGGTGTCATTTAATCCACGTGATAGCACGCATGGGCGGCTGGGATGCCAGCACACTTGCGCAAGAGAACTTCCAAAGCGTAGCAGCAAGAGCGTGTTAAAGAGCGCAAGAGAACTTCCAAAGCGTAGCAGCAAGAGCGCGTTAAACATTGCAAGAAAAAATCCAAAGCGTAGCATTAAGAACGCCTTAAAGAGCGCAAGAGAACGTCCAAAGCGTAGCAGCAAGAGCGTGTTGAAGAGCGCAAGAGAACTTCCAAAACGTAGCATCAAGAACGTGTTAAAGAGCGCAAGAGAACTTCCGAAGCGAAGCAGCAAGAGCGTGTTAAAGAGCGCAAGAGAACTTCCAAAGCGTAGCAGCAAAAACGTGTTTAACATTGCAAGAAAAATTCCAAAGCGTAGCATTAAGAACGTGTTAAGGAGTGCAAGAGAAGATCCAAAGCCTAGCAGCAAGAGCGTGTTAAAGAGTGCAAGAGAATTTCCAAAGCGTAGCAAGAAGAGTGTGTTCAAGATTGCAAGAGAACTTCCAAAGCCTAGCAGCAAGAGCGTGTTAAAGAGCGCAAGAGAACTTCCAAAACGTAGCAGCAAGAGCGTGTTGAAGAGCGCAAGAGAACTTCCAAAACGTAGCATCAAGAACGTGTTAAAGAGCGCAAGAGAACTTCCGAAGCGAAGCAGCAAGAGCGTGTTAAAGAGCGCAAGAGAACTTCCAAAGCGTAGCATCAAGAACGTGTTCAAGATTGCAAGAGAACTTCCAAAGGGTAGCATCAAGAACATGTTCAAACGTGCAAGAGAACTTCCAAAGCAAAGCAACAAGAGATCACCAAAAAAAAAAACGACAGCCAAGAAACGAACGCGACAAAACGACCCAACCCCCCCTGCAAAAGAATTTCCCCCACCCCCCAGCCCCCACCCAAAACCACCCCCACCCCACCCAAACCCTGCCGTGGAGAAATATGCACATAAATGCGCGCTGACAAGCAGAAAAGCAACCTCAGAAACGGGTCGCAGCGTACGACGGGAGAAAAAAAAAATAAGAGAAATGCCATGGATTCTTCTCCCTAGAAAAAAAATTGGTCATGTGGGTTAGTCTGCCCAATTCTCCTGATGAAAATGATGATAAGCCAGTAAATTGGGGAAATGTCTAAGTGGTTTTCATGGTGTTCTTCCGTGGCTTTCCGGGCTGCCCCGAGGGCCAGGTTACCACCACCATGTCACTGCGACTCATCACAGTGGTGATGTCATTCTGCAGGGCACCGCGGAGGAATTCCGCCACGCGGTCCTGCACCGGAAATGTTGATTGAAAAACCACTTCAAGGAACTTAAAAACTGGTTTATGCATAATATGAGCCACTATATCTATCCCAATTGCAGGTTATTACCCAGAAATCATGAACTGAGGAATGTGGGAAAACTCAAGAAGAAACCTTGAATTGGGGATGGTTTACATACGACCCAGCCCGTTCCCAGTAAATCCGGGATGGATGGTTCCTGGGTTTACTACGTTAGTTGGTTCAGAATCAGCTCACATGTCGATATAATTGTTCCCATTTATGGGTATCATCAAGTAGCCGATCACTCACAGAGTTGCGAGTTCATTCTGGTAAAACCAGTTTCAAAGATTCTTGCAGTATTCATATCAAACGTAAAGTTAAATATGTACAAAGAAAACCCGCACGGGGCGGGTGGCGGAAGTTTCCCGTAGCAAGGAATGTTACACTATAGGTAGGAGTGAAAGACAAGGTTTGCCTATAGGAGTTGGCGTGAAGCCTCGCATCTTCGAAACTCTGTTCTGCAAATTCCTCATCTTGCCTCACCCTTTTGCAACTGAGGCGACCACTTCTCAGCTCTTCGCAGCTCTTCTCACACCATCTCAGCTCTTCTCAATTCTTCTCACAACTGTTCTCAACTGTTCTCAATATTTTTCATCTCTTCCCATCTCAACTCGATTCTGTTCACCTCTTCCCACCTCAGCTCAACTCTGTTCACCTCGTCCCACCTCTTCTCAGATTCCCTCACCTCTTGCCACCTCTTCTCAACTCTTCCCTCTTCACACCTCTGCTCAAGTCATCTCACCTGTACTCAGCTCATCTCAACTCTTCTCACCTCTTGTCAACTCTTTTTAACTCTTCTCACCTCTTCCCACCTCTCTTCACAGAGGGATTTTACACAGAGAAACTGTTACACACAGAAGCTTTTACACACAGAAGCTTTTGCACGGAGAAACTTCTACGCAGAGAAGCTTTTACACACAGAAGTTTTTACACGCAGCCGGCTTTTACATAGACAAGTTTTTAAACAGAGTAGTTTTTACCCAGAGAAGTCTTTACACAGAAGTTTTTACACCCACATTTTTTCACAGAGAGCAAGTTTTTACACAGAGAAGTCTTTACACAGAGAAGTTTTAAACAGAGAAGCTTTTACACAGAGAAGGGTTTACACAGATTTTTTACACAGCCAGCTTCTACACACACCTTCGAGCGGCGCAACGTGGTGGGAGGACGCGCGCTGTGAGTAGGGAAGACATTTTGATGGAGGCAGGTGAGATTTTTGGCTGGATGGCTGAAGTGGCTGAAGCAGGAATGACCATTAGGTCGGACGCCAGCTTTCTTCCAGACCATCAGCCACGCGCTACTTGAGCATGGTTTGGCCGACAGCTACGAAGCTGGCACCATCTTTTTCCCAATTCGGAATGTGCATAAGCTGCAAGGTAGGATTACCTTTCGAGCCAGCAAATGAGCAAAAAATGAGCTTTTACACACATAAGTTTTCACACAGAGAAGCTTTGACACACAGATGTTTTTACACAGAGAAACTTTTACATAGAGAAGTTTTTACACAGAGAAGACTTTACACAGAGAAGCTTTGGCACACAGAAGTTTTTACACGCAGAACCCTTTACACAGAGCAAACTTTTGCACACAACACACAGAAGCTTTGCACGGAGAAGCTTTTGCACGGAGCAAGCTTTTACACAGAGCCAGATTTTGCACAGAGAAGCTTTAACGTACATAATGGCAGCAGAAATAGCAGCTCCAAAACCGGGATCTCGGCGCCAAAGCTTTAAAAAAAGGCGATTTTGGAGCACCTTTTTAAAGGAATTTGAAAGGGAAAATCTGCTCCCAAATCACCATCACAACCTTGATGCAGCCACTCCAATACCATTTACAATTTACAACTCTCAGCTGCAAACGACAATAGTATCACGCACGCAGCCGCAACAGCCAGGAACCTTGACGCAGCCGCTTCACTGCGATCTGCAGAGCCTCAGCTGCGAAACTCCATAGAAGTGCGCGCAAAGGCAACAGAAACTGCAGCTCCAAAACCGGATCTCGGCGCCGAAGCGAAAAAAAGACGATTTTGAAGCACTTTTTAAATGGAGAAAAATCTGCTGAAACATCACCATCGCAACCTACATTGCGGCCACTCTAAAAGGTTTGCGATTCTCAGCTGCAAAAGACATTAGTATCATGCACGCAGCCGCAGCAGCGAGGAACCTTGACGCAGCCACTCCACTGCGAGATTCCACACTAAACCGACGATGCCCAACCCCGTCGCGCAAGCGAGCCTAACATTCAAATCGCACCTTAGATGCAACATTTCCAATGCGATTTAGCAACAATGGCTGCGCTATCTCAGGAAAAACACAATGTTTCAAATCCTCACATGTAATTCCCATGCTTGATGTAGCAGTTCCAATGCGATCTAGCGACAAGGAGTTGCAAAACACAAAAGAATCGCAACACCACTTCACTTCAGGAACATGCCACCTGGACCTCATGATCTTTTGAGCTACTTCTCCACTTCAGGAATTCTCTACATCAGGAACATGGCAAGTGGACTTCAGGATATTTTGGGCTGCTTCTCTACTTCAGGAACATGCCACCTGCACTTCATGATCTTTTGAGCTACTTCTCTACTTCAGGAACATGCCAACTTGACTTATTGATCTTTTGAGCTACTTCTCCACTTCATGGACATGCCAACTGGACTGAATGATCTTTTGAGCCACTTCTCTGCTTCAAGAACATGCCAACTTGACCTCATGATCTTTTGAGCTACTTCTCCACTTCAGGAACATGCCAACTAGACTTCAGGATCTTTCAAGCTACTTCTCTACTTCAGGAACATGCCATCTTGACTTCATGATCTTTTGAGCTACTTCTCCGCTTCAGGAACATGCCAACTGGACTTAAGGATCTTTCGAGCTACTTCTCCACTTCAGGAACATGCCAACTAGGCTTAAGGATCTTTCGAGCTACTTCTCTAATTTAGGAACATGCCCACTTGACTTCATGATCTTTTGAGCTACTTCTCCACTTCAGGAACACGCCAACTGGACTTCAGGATCTTTCGAGCTACTTCTCTACTTCAGGAACATGCCAACTGGACTTAATGATATTTGGCTCATGCTACTGAAAAACAATCTGTAACTCGGAGTTTCTCTACGAAACTTCCTTTGATGATTAATATTGATTGTTGTATACTGAATTTACATCTACCTGTCTATCTATCTATCTATCTATCTATATATATATACATATGTATGTATATACATGTATATACATATTTATATACACATAATTTGTATCGTGATTTCATGCACTAATCCGTAATTAGAGCAGAGGCTTGCTGTTTGTGAGTTTCAAGAGGATTTTCCAGATCCAACCAATCCAGCCGGCCTGCTTTTCAAGGATCTTGGCATTGCTGTCTTCCAACTTGCGCGCGAAGTTGCGCTCCATATCCTCCTACAGCGCGAAGTTGCGGTGGCTCACAAGCCTTTGGTGTCAAATCAATCGCAATCACGCCAATCAAATCGAAATGGCCAAGATGGACCATCGTCCCAGATAGGATGGACAATTAAATCACTTGAATTTCAAAGTCCATCTGTCAGAATCAAAGGAATCTCTGGCAAAATGTGAAACCCAATCGGCCGCTCGGCCTGACGACGGTCGCTGTTGCGGCTCTCTTGGGCAGTGCGAGCTTCCTTGAGATAGTCAGACAAGACTCGCCTGACAGGAAGAAACGAAGCCCAGCAGTTTCCACAGGAAAAGGAGAAATGAATCTGTAGCAACACCCAAAAAGCTAGAAAAGTAGTATTGTTGTTGTTGTTGTAAGCGGACGTCAACCTGCTCCTCACCGAAGTGAAGTAGTTAAGACGCCATAGTATGCCATCTGCGAGAATCAAGTTCCCATACTTCTCCAAGCAAAACTCAAAGGAAGCGAAACCTGCCTGAAATAAAAAAGAAGTAAACACAGTGCGCCAGCTAGCATTCCGCATGGAATGTTTGTTGATCAAGTACGACTTGCCAAAAAGGTAAAGTCCGTAGCCTCTGCAGACACCAAACTGCTGCAGCCCAAGCCACGGCTCGCTGATGTCGCTGCACAGCCGCAGCGATCATGGAGCGTGAGTCACGCAACACCTCACCTGCCTGAGCATCGGCTGTCGCATTGAGAACGCGGCAGAGATGAACATCAATCCAACCATCTGGTGGTGTCCAGTCAGGCACCTTGTTGTGAGAAGGGATCCAAGTGCAAACAGTGCCCTGAATCAATAAGCCGCTGATCCGCTGCCAGAAAAGCGGCAAGTCACCCTCCCAACGGCCAGTGCTAATGCCTCGCTGAAGCCGCCGCACCAAAGCCTGATTGTCAATCAAGAGCATCACCGGTCTGTTAGCTGCAGAAGAGACTAAACAAGCTTGCAGAAGAGCAGCACGCTCACCTGCAGCAGGTGTTTGCTCAAAACCAGTCACGGCACCTTGAACAGTGGTGCCTGAAAGTGTCGAAACCGCCCAGCTAGCTCTTTGCCATCGATCACAGGAAGTAGCTATGATACAACTGCCGTCCAAACCCAAGGTGGGTCGCTGAAGAGGATCGAATTGCTGAATAAAAGTAACCAAAGCAGGATCTGCTACCATGTTGGAAAAAGGCAACACAGGAGGAGCATCCACAAGTGGAACCAGCAAACGACGTTCAGTAGCGCTCCTGAACTCACCATCCCATGGCTGCGCTTGGCAGTGAAAAGTGAGATGTTCTCGATCAGGAGACCGCAATCCGCATTCACAACTCAAAGCAGAACCAAAGCGCTCTGTGACCCTGCCATCCACTGCAGCACCAGTCAAAACCCTGCGACTGTAGTAATCCATGCCTAAAGCTGCATTTGCCTGAAAAAGGAAAACCGGCTCCTTGCCGTTTGGCCATCGACCATCCGTTTTGGTGTCTTTAGTCCACAAACCAACGAGCCATGAATGGATAGCGGCCTTTTGCAAGCTTTTCAAAGACATCCACCCAGGTTTCAAAATCCCAGCAGGCGTGTGCTACAGGCCATCGTCAAGTCGCCATTTCCAATCTTTGAGTACTGCTTTCCAGCGAGGAGCAGGCGAGGTAGCTGCAGGCAACCCTTGGGCACGGCGGCATTGCCGATTCCATTCCGCCCGGGCGGCGGTGAACTGGAGCGCAAACATCGGATGTAGTCTTGCAGAACCCAAAGAATTCCAAAAGAGCAGCCGGCTCCTACCTGGAGGAACCCTTCGACCCCAAAGTGCAGTTTCGATCATAGATGTCCATGTTCGAATGGTTCTTGCACTGAAGTGATGAAAAGCACCGGACCAAGCAAATAAAGATATCACCAACTTATGCACCAATGCAATGCGAGTGCCTAAGTGCTGTGCTGCCAAACGAATTTTGAGACACCGTCGCTGAATGTTGTCACTGACAATATCCGCATCAACACAAGAACTGGGGCGTGACAAATTGTATTGAATGCCAAGCAGTGTGAAAGGATCCGCAGGTACACCTACTAAATCTTTCTTCTTGCGCACCTTGGCAACCAGATGCGGTTTGGTGGCGAAGCTAGCCAATTTGTCAGGGTGAAGTTCGAAGCCGAGAATAGCATCGGCTTGCGCTCCCGCAGTCATGGCGTTGATGACCACTTCAAAACTTTGACAACCTTGTTTCCACATGGTGCGATCGTCCAAATAAATAGCCAAAGAAATCCTTGGTTCCTGCCGTTTGACAAACCTCACCCAAACTGTCATCAAAGCGTTCCGTAGCGCAGGGCTGGCTGGACAGCCTTGCAATAAACCCCGTTGAGCAAAAACCGGATGAGGGTGATAAGAACCTTGCCAAGCAAACCAACGACGCTGTTCACTGTAAAAATCAGCGAGTAAATCACAAATTGATGAGGGAGCACCGAACCATCGCCACACTTTAATGGCTGTCTGAGGGCAAACTGAATCAAAACACTTGCGAACATCAGCTTTGCCCCCGACCAAATCGACACGAGACTGCTTTGCCGCGCTGACAGCTTCGTAGAAACGTTCATGGACTTCCATGATGCCCTTGCCTGGTAGACCACCAAAAAGTTCGGGCGAAGCCCATTCCGCAATCCAAGGCTGTAATTTTTCAGAGTGGCACTCATGCAAATACGCCACAGGACAGTGACAATGGCTAAAGGGCGCATGCCACCAGTAGCTTTTGGTAACAAAGCAATTCTAACATCTTTCCACATCGCAGGAACACAGCCATGTCGCAAGCAAGCATCCCAAAGAGCACCGACCTGATCCCAAAAAGCAATGGGAAGATTGCACAAATGGAGAGCTGTCCAGGCATCCATGCCCGGAGCCTTGTCCTTCGCTTTGAACGCAATCCGAACCAATTCAGAACCACTAACCTGAATACAGTCATCCGGCAATGGATCGCTTGCAGAGCCAATCTGAGAGTACAACTGGTCCCCCAGATTCAAATTCGGAAGCGACCCTGGATTCCAATACCTGTCCCAATCCAATGCTGCGCACTTGGCCCTATCTGCAGGTAGAATGGAGCCATCAAAACTTGCAGTAGGACTGGCGGGCGGCACCTGTTTGACCCACCTGCCTAGTTTGGTGGCATTTTCCTGCACGCTATCCTTCCACGTCTCCAAGCGTAACTTGGACGCTGCTGTAGCTTCTGCATTTGTCAATTCTAGCACTGCACTAACCAACCTGGGGTCATCCAAAGAGAAAAAAGCCAAAGAATGATGTAAATGAGGGCCATCACGAACCAACTTCTTCTCCAACTCTGGCAACGGGGCCTTTTGGTACTCCACCACTCTTCGTGCGAAGCGTCTGAGCTTGCGCTCTTTCACTGTTTGCAAAGAAGGCGCTTTTGAAGACGGAGGACTGGCAATTTGCTGCGGGCCCTGGCGCATAGCACGACCAGCTTTGCCACGTGCGAGAAGAAGAGATTCTGCGCAGTTGCTAAGTAAGGTCCAAGCAGAGTCCACGTTGCCTGTACTCGATGCATTTCCAAAATCGTCACATACTTCTTCCCAAGCACTTAGCCAAGAAGCTTCAGCAACCTTTTCAGAATGCAAAGGGGCACCAACTGGGAGAGTCCACGGTGTGGATAATGAACCAGGCACATGCAAGTTGTAAACCACCGCGTCATGGTCAGCCACGCCAAGATGTTGCTCCCTACCAGTAATAATTACCCGAGGAGTGCACAAGCCATAGTCAATGACCACACCTGTATAAACACCTGCAGCAGTTCGATGTGTACCACCTAAAACACGATCTCCGCAAACCAGCTCATCACAGGACCGCCACTGTCCAGTAGCCAAAACGTTAGAAATTGGCCAACAATGAATTTCCAAATTGAAGTCACCCATGATCACTGTATCTTCACCACAAGCAGCAACAAACTCGAACAGCACACCCAGCGCACGGCTGGCAGCTGTGCGATCTGAAGCATGTAAGTAAACATTGATGAGAATCAACGGCCTTTGCTGAGGTCTATAGAGTTTGACGGCCATGGATCTTTCCACAGACACCATGTCGACAGGAAGGGCCAAGGCCTCAGCAGGCCATTTTGTTAGAACCAATGTACCACCTTCCACTACATTTTCGAATTTCTTCCTTGAGGGCCAGGAAAAAGTTGCCACCCGCGTGCCTTGACGGCACGAGTCACAGCATTCCAGCTGTGATTGTTAACTCTAGTTTCTTGAAGACACAGAACATGTAAATTCTGGAGCTGAGCGAAGTCAAGCACACCACCCAAGCGGCCTCCCAAGGACCGTACATTCATAGTCCCCAACCGCATAGTGCTGTCAGAGCCCGTCATGGGTTCTGATCCACAGCGCCATCCTGCTGCAATCCCAAAATGTCCAAAGCTCGCGAAGCAGCTCGCTGTCTGGCACTTGGAGCCTGAGCCGCAAGAGGCGCCAAAATATCCCTCTGGCCCTTTCGAAACTTAGTCCAAACCATTTTACGAGGACACTGACTTCCTGTAAGCCGTCTGATGTTGTTGACACAACGCTTGCAATGCACACACAAGCAAAACGCACCGTAAAATTGGCAGGCCACACAATGGCCTCAATCTGATGCGTGCTGTCTGCTGCAGTATCAGTGGTGCGAAATGCTCCAGAGTCGATGATTTCCAAAACTGTGCGGGCACCCTTCTTGAGGTCATCGCTGATGTCTGCATTTTTGAGGCACGCACGCAATCTTTCCACCAACTGCTTTCGTTTGGGCCCTTTGCTGGAAGCATACTGTTCACAAGCAATCTTTGCCAAACGCTTCGCTGTCAAAGCCATACTGCCACAAGTTTTGCAAATGACGTAAGACATTCCAACGCTTTTCTGTTTGCCATTTCCTGTGGCTGGAATGGTAACGAAAGTGGGGTCATGTGCTCCAGCATCGCCACGCTTGAAGCCAAGCAACCTTCGAGCCACTGCAGCTGCACGCACCTGGCGCGTGGCTTTGCTAGCATTCTCCCGTCTGAAGCTGCTGTCCTTGTGGAAGAGCTTGGCATCCGCCTGAGGATGTTTGTCTTCCCTATGCTTGCGGATGACGCTGTACACTTGGCCAGGTTTGAGGTTGTGATCAGCGGACAAGCCAAGTTTGCAAACAGGACACTTCCAGCTATAGACTCCTCCCTTCTTGACCGCAGACAGCGCAGGCAACGTGTTTTTGAAGCCGATTTTCAACTGTTCCTTCTCATCGGGATGCCAAGCATTGATATGAGCTCTCTTCTTGTCAACCCATCCTTGGCACACCCCAGTGGAAAAGTCACACAAAGGGCATGTCCACTCAGTACGCTTAGTGCGTCTGGACGAAGCACTGGCTGCGTCTTGTCCTTCACTGGCTGCACGTGGCGTGCACGGACCCCGACCCGAAGTAGCAGCCGCAGGGGAAGAAGAATTCTTGCGCTGCTCTGACAAAGTAGAGGCGGGCGCGGGGCTAGCACACCTTCCACGTTTATTGTTGCTATGAACCAGTGACGGCAAAGCTGACAATCTGGTGGCACCAACTGAAGTAGCGCCACATTCCGATCCTCCACCTCTGTTGCCCTGCATTGGACCATTTGCGGCCTGAGTCAAAACTTCAGGAGGGAAAGCACCTTCAAGTCGTTCATAGTGCTTTGAACGAAACCACAAAGCGATGGGAGCACCACCCTTGCCACGACCATTGTAAATCTCCCTTGAAGGGAGTGGCATCCCGGTCCAAGATCAGCACGACCCCAACGGCCAGCTTCATGGCCTTGTAGAAGGATGTCCCACGTGGGTTCGCCGAGATCTCGTCCTGGCGAGCACTTCTTGGATTTTTTGCTTCAGCAAACCCCCCCCAAAAAAAGTAGATTGGATTCAATAGGTAGTGGATTTTGGAATGGGAACATAGAAAAGAAACATCTTCATTGAAACTTGAGGCCCCGGCAAGGTGAACGAAAGCTAAAGCTAAAGGTCATATGAACGTGGTAATAGGTGAGCGGAACTTGGGAACATGCACGGAAGTGCAGACGATGCTCATCCACAGGGAAGGAGTCAAGATGGTTGCAAAGAATTGTGTAATGTCCAGCTTTCAATCGTAGAATCGTAGAGCATGTGAAGCAAAGAACATGGTTACTGAAAAAAGCTGGGGCCTTATCCAGAAGTGTAATTTTTGATGGGGCTGAAATCCTCAACTGTTGATCCGAGTCACAAAGAATTCTATTCGGCCCACTGCCAAATTGTTAGAAGCTCTGGCGAGCTTGGAAAGTCACAACCAAAGAAGATTGGTAAGCGACAAAATTCGGGCCCCATCCAAAATTGTAATTTTTGATGGGGCTCAAATCTACACAGTGTTGACCTGAGTCAGAAAGAACTCTAGCGAGCATAGTGTTCTGGTGAGGCATCTTGCGCAAGAGTTCCATCCGAACAACATGCAATCTTCCGTTGCAAGTCGTAAAAATCTGAACCAAAGAAGATGGTGACTCTATAAAGTTTGGGCCCCATCCAAAATTACAATTTTCGATGGGGCTCAAATCTACACAGTGCTGACCGGAGTGAAAAAGAACTCTATCGAGCCTAATGTTCTGGCGAAGCATCTTGAGCAACAGTTCCATCCGAACAACATGCAATCTTCCGTCGCAAGTCGTAAAACATCTGAAACAAAGAGGATGGTAAAGTTTGGGCCCCATCCAAAATTGTAATTTTCGATGGGGCTCAAATCTACACAGTGTTGACCTGAGTCAGAAAGAACTCTATCGAGCCCAATGTTCTGGTGAGGCATCTTACGCAAGAGTTCCATCCGAACAACATGTAATCTTCCGTTGCAAGTCGTAAAATAACCAAAGAAGATGATGACTCTATAAAGTTTGGGCCCCATCCAAAATTCTAATTTTTGATGGGGCCCAAATCTACACAGTGTTGACCTGAGTAAGACAGAACTCTAGAGCCCAAGGTTCTAGTGAGGCATCGCGCACAAGAGTTCCATCCGAACAACATGTAATCTTCTGTCGCCAGTCGTAAAACATGTGAACCAAAGAAGAAGGTGACTCTATAAAGTTTGGGCCCCACCCAAATTGTAATTTTTGATGCGGCTCAAGTCTACACAGTGTTGACCTGAGTCAGAAAGAACTCTATCGAGCCTAATGTTCTGGCCGTATCTTGCGCAAGAGTTCCATCCGAACAACGTGCAATCTTCCGTTGCAAGTCGTAAAACATCTGAACAAACGAAGATGGTGACTCTATAAAGTTTGGGCCCCGTCCAAAATTGTAATTTTTGATGGGGCTCAAATCTAAGCTACACAGTGTTGACCTGAGTCAGAAAGAACTCTATCGAGCCTAATGTTCTGGTGAGGTATCTTGCGCAAGAGTTCCATCCGAACAACATGTAATCTTCCGCTGCAAGTCGTAATACATGTGAACCAAAGAAGATGGTGACTCTATAAATAAAGTTTGTGTCTCATGAGATAGGATGCCTGTCCAGATCTCTTTTTTCACCACCTTGTTTTTGTTGTTGAGCAGCTGCGGCACGTTTCGGCTGGCATCAACTGGACAGCACATAAACTCAACAAATCATGAGCTAGAGAGTTTCAGAGGGACGGCCCTGGCAGGATTTGGGCCTGTGACCATCTGCTTCCGAGACTGCTTCAAAATGCCCCGGGAGCTTAGGGGGAGTTCAAGTGAAAAATCACTGCGTTGGACTCAGACCTGCCCCTCCCTTGCTGAAGGAAGAGTAACTCAGCTAGCTACCGCTAGTTTTCGTGACCATGATTTGGGATTGAATCCAAACTTTAAATCGCCAAAGCCATGAGATGTCATGAGCACAGCACTCCTGCAGCTTGTGTTGATTATTTGCGTACGCACAGACCCAGTATGCTAGTCCCACGGCATTCCGCAGTTCCGCGTGCTGGCGCAGGCAAGCAACAAAGCGACACACGGCTTCTTGCCACGCATGGCTCACAAACCAACACGGGAACTGCGTTTCTGCGTCCTTGGCAACGAGCTCCACGAAGCTGCACCTGTACCGCAGGGTAGCTGGCTTTATGACCCAATGAGATGTGTGGTAGAGGTTGAAGGTCTGCAGCTCCAACGGCTGTTCAAAGTTTGGGCTGCCAGAGTACCTGGGGTTTGACAAAGCTACAGTACGGAGCGAAAGCTGAACTTGAAACAAAGAAAACTACATGAACTTGGCAGCTGTGGATATGCCTGAAAGCAACAACTAGGACCAGCTAGAACCAACTCCACTTATGTCAAGGAACGTCTCCACCCAGAGGTGCGCATGGTCACGGATGAAATCCACCAGCTGCGACAGCTGCTTCAAGTTGATCCCACGGCATTCCGTTTGTGGGACGTTGATCGCACGGCTGCCTAAGGTATCGTAGCTCACCAAGGTATACCTCAGTTTCCCATGTCCCAACCTGGAGGAGTAGCGTAGCTGTCGAAGACACGACACGTCACCAGTCCAGCATTGCAGTATACAAAACCAAGCAACGCAGCAGCTTCCAGGGCAGTGCCTGGTTTTAAATGTTGGACACCCTGGGAAAGCACGGCATTCTCCCAGCCACCTGAGCTTCGGACATCACCAATTGAGCAGTCAGAAAATAGTCTGTTTGTTGGGAAACTGTCACGAGCTGGTTGATAACATCTAAGAATCAATGGATATCAATGGCATGAGCCCCTTCATGACTGATGAAAACCCCCCATAACTTTTGAAATGGCTCACCTGGCTGCGTCTTTTGCGCAGCGCAAATGGCATCTTCCACCGTCGCGGGCAGTGGGCATGGGATCACGCCCGATGCGCCGGCGCCACCGGGGAGGGTTACGGCAGCTGTGGCCATCGCGAAAAATTCCAAGGAAATCCAGCAATTGAAAAACTAAGCAGCTGGACACCTTGAATTAAATCAAAACGCTGCAGTCAGACGGATATCAGAGGTATCGAGAACACTCTCGCAGCCGTGGCATGTGCAGATGCGAATCTGGATGAATCTGCTGGATTTGTGCAGCTGTCTAAGCGACTCAGGATGGAACTGAAGGATGAACCGCACATGTCCACCTTGCTGATGGTTTCGGCGAAACAGCACACGCATGAAGCTTAATATCGAAGGACTGCTTTGCGGTTCCAAAAAGCTTTGGTGCGCTTGCAAGTTGAACTCTATCAAACCAAAAAATGAGCTTTGCATAGTTTTGTCATGTCCTGTCTGCATAAGGGCTATCTTCTGTAAGAAAACTCCACCTTTAGCCCTTACAGAAGATAGCAGAAGGTCACCTTTTTCTTATACAACGTGGTATCAGACCAACCTGGCGGGAAACCGGCAAAGTGTATCAAGGGGTGGCAAGATGAAAACGACCAAGGTGTTTCCCCACAAGATTGGTGAAAACATTGCAATTTTCCAATCTCTTGCGAGTCTTTTGCGGTGCGAAGAAGTTTGTCAACATATGATCACAAGGCACGCATGTGTTGATTTATGTTGATTTTATCTGATCTACTCAGAGGGATGAGTGGGAAACTGAGTGGATGCCGACTGGGAAACAAATCACTTCACAAAATGAAGACCCAGCTGGTTGCTGTCAGTTTTTTCGTGGTTCTTCGACCACCTGCAGGCATGAAAAATGCATTTCGAACTAGTTGGTCAGAATGCGACGCTACTTGGCAATAGATGGGATCCCTTATTGGCAATCGCGCTGGTACAAGATCTTGTCCACAGTGCCAGCACAATCCTGCCCCCACCCCAGGGCCCCAGGAATCCAGATCTCCCGCCTGTCAGGTCTCGTTGGCGACAACATGGCTTTCCGATATAGCTTGCGCAGCTGAATGCAATACTGTGACGTGATCATTGCATAAGGAGTGTATCTTTGTCACGTTAGATTCGTGATGCAACACTCACAGCTAGTTAAGACTCTGAGTCTCTGCAGTTGAAAACAATGCCAACCTTGGTGCATGGTGGCTCTGAAGGTTTCTTGGTGCTTTGTGTGACCTTATGAATCTGAAGTATTTTTCATCCAAACAGATCGACAACTTCAACGACCTTTGAATTGCTCCAACACTCAGCGCTGAGACTCAAACTCAGTCAACTACGCATCAGTACCACTTGTTTGTGTCTGAGGTACAACCTATGTTGTGAAGAACATGTTCTTTGATCTTTTTGGATCTCCATAGACTTAAAGTAAAAAGTGTTGTGGGTTTTACTTTGGTTGGACGGTTTCAAAAGCGATTGGAGTGGATCTCTGAGACCACTGCAGTGTGTCAAAGACACGCTGCAAAATAGTCGCAGGAACCAACCAGGTGGTACAATCTATGAGTCCGGTGAGCGCAATACTCTCATCGAGGAAAGGAAAGAAAAACCGAAACCGAGAAATATGATTGGTTTCAATTGAATCCAACCAAACCCGTCACTCCGCACCCTACCTGGCGAGTTTTGAAGCGCACTGCACTGCATCACAAATCACCAAACAAATCACTCCAATCCGGGAGTCTCAGGGTCCTTGCCGTGAAACAGTCTGAAAAGTGAGAGTGAAACCTGGGGTTGTATAAAAACCCCGTATCTTTTTAAATTACCCAAAATCACGTTATCGTTTTTTTTTCCCCTTATCGTTTTCTCAGGTGGCGAGCTCCCTGTAGACAAGAAGTGTGAATTTACCAGGCTTCCATGGGTGTGAAAGAATTGTTCGTGGAAGATCAAAACATATTGTCCTGTGTGCAATCTTCGACATGGATCATAATCGTGAAGCATCTCAGCACTTGACTAGCTTTCTACAACTTTTTTTTTGGTCTGTGAAATTAGGGCAAGGAGTCCGGGACATTGCTTTTTTGCTTCTAAAATTGCACCAGGTCCGATTTCAGGATCTTTCAAAACTTGCTGCAGCAAGGCATAGACAGTCTTGGGTGGTAAAGACATGGCAGAAGCCAGGGTGAGGCAAAGCCGGTAAAAGGAAAAGCTAAACAAGACTATCATGCCACACATTTCTGTTTTCAAAAAGCCTCGTGAAACCTGTCAAATGGGTAGTTTAGTTGCTCACACGGCATATTTTTTGCTACAGTTCCTTATCGTTTTCATTATCGTTTCGTTATCGTTTTGGTCCCCTCTATACGTTCTCATTTTCGTAGTCCATGCAAACGACTACATAGTGTTTTGTGCAAGTTCCTAACACCCGAGAACTCTCCTTACATAAGTAATATACCAGATCGAGTTTTAACCGTACCTCATATCATGTATATATATATATTATTATATATTATAAAAAAAAATAAATAAATATATATATATGAGCCATCGTTATCGTTTTTTTTTCCTCTTATCGTTTTCTGGGCCGGCAACGTATTGGCAGTGTTAAAGTGCAAGCCAAGCTAAAATGCAATGCACGGGGTTATTATACTACCCCTGCTATTCAAGCAACAAACTCCGTCGTAGTTTCATCTCAAGAACTGCTTGGAGATCTGGATAAAAGCAATGTACAGTGTACATGCCACATGCTTCTGAACAACCACGATCAGAGTCCAAGCGACTGAAAAAACAGGAGTTGCAGGAGGTTTTCCTCCGATGCCGGGCAGAAAAACCATCAGTTTCCCTTTCACTTCCTGCATGACCTGGTGGCAAGACTGGGATGACTTCCAACAGCTTGGGACCCATATGGATCTTCCTTTAAGTTGGGCCCAAAGACCAAAGAGTTCCAGGCTCAGAAAGCAGAAAAATATGTGTTGACTTTTGAGTTCTGTCCACTTTGCTTCTTAATTTTCCCTTCACCAACTTCAGGTCTCCACCCGTGTCTTGGTGAGAGTGCCAAATTCCAGGTGTTTGGAAGACCATCGCAGTATATCGCAGTTGATCGCATTTGAAACAAGTGCAACCTACGAAACATGTCCAAAAAGTGCTTGGTTTGGGTGGTCCATATTACTTTGTGTATAGATTTTGTAACAAATGGGACAAAACAACGAGAACCGTAAAAAAACGTAAAACGAAATGTGTGAAAGGTATTAGATTTATAAAAAGAGGAAAGAATGCAATATAATCTGAAAGCAAGGAGAGAAGCAAACATGAGTGGGTGAAATAATCATTACTTATATTGCTGATAAATTGAACCTTTCACATCTTTTGGGGGATGACTATATAGACTGTGTGAGTCATTCTGCAGAACAAGCAAACTAAACACAACTGACGGAGGGGCAATCCGCCACCAGGATGCGAGTTTCCAAACATGGAATCTTTGAACAATCATACTTCTATTCGTTCTATTCTGAGTTTCAACTACTTGAATATGCATCAAGTATTGTGCGCAATGTGCCTGTGCAACTTCTCGGTTGGAATGTAAGGAAGCATAGCAACCGTGTGCACAGCTTGCTTCCGTGAAAAAGCGGAGCCTTTGGTATGTCAGACCTGAAATCCAAATGGAGTCGCATATTGTGCGCCATGGTTGCAAACATGGAGGGATTGTTTTTTCTATACTTATGTGCACTTTGTGAAATCTTAAACGCACAGTCTGACATCGAGCTACTCAAGGGAGTCGGGACCTCGAGTACCAAGGGATGTGAGCCTTGCCTCAACCCGGAATGCCTGGACCTCACTTGTTTCTAGAGGCTACTCGGCTTCATTAGTCTATTGCTCTCCATTCGTGTGACGATAGCGCCCCCCCCGACAAGCATATGCAGCATATGAATATGGCTTACTAGATCCACAACCTGCTCAGGTTGCTGCGACGTGCCGGGTGACACTCTGGGGAACTTCAAACTGATATGATCGAAAGTTTTGCCAATAATTAAGGTGCCTTTGCCTTTCATGGGACAATCGTATTAAATTCAATATCAACACTCAAACACAATCACCTAGGCATCTTTCAAGTTATAGTGGCCTTTACAGCCAAGCGGACCGCTGAAGATGTCTTGCAGCAAGTCCAGGAAAACCGAGAAATTGTTGAACAAGAAAGGACCCTTTCCAACGATATGAGCTATTTGTTTTTCTTTCACGAAGCTGTATAATATTGAAAAAAATAAAATACAACTATCTTTTCAGGGTTGGCTATAGTAAGGAGTCAGTGATCACACCCTTTCGGGCCTTTCACGATGCAGTCGCAATCGATCTTCGCACTGGCAAAAATTAAAAAAAGGGGGAAGCCCTTCCGTCTCCACCGTGACAGCCCCCATCAGGGCTTCCAAACGTCGGAAGATGGAGCTACGACCTTGGCTAGTCATATGCACTTGTCGAGCTGGGCAAAAATAGTGCTTGAACAGTATGGTGGGTTATTCTTCTTTGGAGAACTGACTTTGAACAACTTGCCTGATGTACAGGCGATGTTGTCTGGTTTTTGGGACAAATATGAAAAGGCTGAGGGTCAACAGAACACCGAAAAATGCTCCTGAGGGGCTCGTTTTTGTTTAGCCCCTTTGCCACAATATGCCTTTTTATCTAGACGATTTTTGACTTTTGGAGCGTTGTATCCTTACTGATGTCTCTTAGTAGGTTTGACGTCAGTTTCCAAGATGTTTCAGGGGCAAGGCTGAGCATTTAACTAATCACAGAACCTTCGATCTCTTCGCGTGACAGGTTTTTCATGGCACGACACGTTTATCAAGGTATGATAGGCTTACCATCAAATGATAAGACGCAAGACAATTGTTTGTGGCATGATCAGTTGCTGACCACAAAGCCCGGGATCATCTACTGTAATTACTGGTATGAGTGGCTCTGGTATAACAAGCTACCATTTTTGCAAAAAAATCTGCGCGTGTAAGAGGTGTAATTTGCTTGGCAAAAGGCGTAATTATGCGCAATTGGGCAACCCACGTTCAATTTCGGTCGAAGTTCTTCAGGCACGATGGTCACAAACCATGGGCGCAACGCAACGCAAACAATTTTTAATGAACTGCTTGACACTGGGACCATGGATCCCCCATGTCTTTGGTTTGGGTTTTCTTGTCGCAGCTTTGCCCTCCATACTCTGGCGACTTGCTCATCCCATGTCATGCGGCTCCGTCGCTCATTAGGTGCTAGCCAGCACCAACAGTTGTAGCATCGGAATCACAACTTGGAACAAATCTACTTTGATATGATTCAGGGATGAATCTTCCACGCTTCTCTTATGTTCTCTTGCTCAAGAAAACTGCCAGGGGCGTTTTTCTATTAAGGGGCCGAAAATGTGTACCCTTAGCTAAGGGGCCAAAAAAAACGGGCACAGATGGACCCTGCGGGGTCGAACTATTCCCTACATGTCGGCGACGAGGGCCGTGCACTGCTTGTAAGTTTTCAAGGGGTGGATGGAAGGATGCCAACTTGTCCGTGGACCTGTTGAACTCCAAGAAGAATTTCGGTAGAAAAGTCCATGGAAAATATCATGTTTTATTGTTTCCACCTGAAGGTCGATTTGTGCATTGGGCTGTGCTCCACCAACAAGTTCATCCGTTCTTCAGGTTGATTTACATTGGGAAACTCTAGCTGCCACGGTCAGTGGCCCAACAAGTTGTGCGTCATGGGTGGAACATGCTGGAATCTTTGAACAATCATACTTCTATTCATTCTATTCTGTGTTTCAACTACTTGAATATGCATCAAGTATTGTGTGCATGTGCCTGTGCAACTTCTCGGTTGGAATGTAAGGAAGCGTATCAAATGTGTGCACAGCTTGCTTCCATGAAAAAGCGGAGTCTTGTATGTCAGACCTAAAATTATCCAAAATCCATATGGAATCGCATACTGTGCGCCATGGTTGCAAACATGGAGGGATCAAAACAATACTCGTGTGCACTTTGTGAAATCTTAAATGCACAAACCTACTCAACCAAGCCGGGACCTTGAGCACCAAATGCTAGCTGGATGTGAGTATTGCATCAACCCGGAATGCCTACAGTAGACCTCAAATATGTTGAGGATCATGTGCTTTGCAACGTTGGGTGACGAAGATTTCATAGGGCGCATAGCAAGATGTGCCCGCAAGGTTCATCCAATTCAAAGGGTACGCGACACCAAGCGTTGCCTAATCAGAGGGACCATCAAAGGAATGGCTGAAGGTCATCCCCGGCTCTGAGAGCCCCAACGGCGAGAAAAAATGTGTGCGTCGTGTCCTTGATCAAGGCTGGCTGACCGAGGTGGATAGGTTTTGATGAAAAAAATATGGGATTGCACCCGCAAGCTGTGTCGGCAACTGATACGTGAAGTTCTTTTCTGCGCTTGCTGTGGCGCTTCCAAAACTGTGGTTGCAAAAGGGCCAGATGCACTTCAAGCGCTCCGTCCCTTAACATTTTAGCAAAAGCTTAAGCCCCGCAAATCATACAGCAACGGAAACGAGGTAGAATTAATGCAAACGCTCGAAGAATTCCAAGGGTTGTCTTCCAGCCACAGATTAACGAGTTGATCAAGGCCTTGGAACGCCCCCGCAGGAATTCTGGTCAACTTGTTGTCCTCCAGATAGAGTGTCTGAAGTTGACCAAGGTCTTGGAATGTCCCCGGAGGAATTGTGGTCAACCTGTTTTCGCCCAAATTGAGTCCCTGGAGTTGATCAAGGCCTTGGAATGTCGCTGCAGGAATTGTCGTCAACTTGTTTCCAAACAAATTGAGTTCCCGGAGTTGACCAAGACCTTGGAATGTCCCCGCAGGGATTGTGGTCAACTTGTTGTCCTCCAGATAGAGTTTCTGAAGTTGACCAAGGTCTTGGAATGTCCCCGGAGGAATTGTGGACAACTTGTTGCGGTACAGATAGAGTTCCTGCAGTTGACCAAGGCCTTGGAATGTCTCAGCAGGAATTGTGGTCAACCTGTTTTCGCCCAACTTGAGTTCCTGGAGTTGACCAAGGCCTTGGAATGTCTCTGCAGGAATTGTGGTCAACCTGTTCCTGTGCAGATGGAGTTTCTGGAGTTGATCAAGGCCTTGGAATGTCCCCACAGGAATTGTGGACAACTGGTTGTAAGACAGATAGAGAAATCGCAGTTGATCAAGGCCTTGGAATGTCCCCGCAGGAATTCTGGTCAACTGGTTGCGCTGAAAATAGAGTCCCTGGAGTTGATCAAGGCCTTGGAATGTCCCCGCGGGAATTGCGGTCAACTGGTTGGAGTTCAAATTGAGTTCCCGGAGTTGACCAAGACCTTGGAATGTCCCCGCAGAAATTGTGGTTAACTTGTTGCCGTCCAGATAGAGTTTCTGCAGTTGACCATTTCCGTGGAATGTCCCCTTAGGAATTGTGGCCAACTGGTTGCTACCCAGATCGAGTTCCTGCAGTTGACCAAGGCCTTGGAATGTCCCCGTAGGAATGCTGGTCAACTGGTTGCGCTGCAAATAGAGTTCCTGCAGTTGACCAAGGCCTTGGAATGTCCCCACAGGAATTGTGGTCAACTGGTTGTAAGACAGATAGAGAAATCGCAGTTGATCAAGGCCTTGGAATGTCCCCGCAGGAATTCTGGTCAACTGGTTGCGCTGAAAATAGAGTCCCTGGAGTTGATCAAGGCCTTGGAATGTCCCCGTAGGAATTGTCGTCAACTCGTTGAAGCCAAAGCTCAGATCGAGTTTCTGAAGTTGACCAAGGCCTTGGAATGTCCCCGCGGGAATTGCGGTCAACTGGTTGGAGTTCAAATTGAGTTCCTGGAGTTGACCAAGGCCTTGGAATGTCTCTGCAGGAATTGTGGTCAACTGGTTGCTTGACAAATCGAGTTCCTCGAGTTGATCAAGGCCTTGGAATGTCCCTGGAGGAATTGTGGTCAACTCGTTCAAGTACAGATGGAGTTTCTGCAGTTGACCAAGGCCTTGGAATATCTCTGCAGGAATTGTGGTCAACTCGTTGATGCTCAAATCGAGTTCCTGCAGTTGATCAAGGCCTTGGAATGTTCCCGCAGGAATTGTGGTCAACTTGTTGCTGCCCAAATCGAGTTCCTGGAGTTGACCCAGGCCTTGGAATGTCCCTGCGGGAAGTGTCGTCAACTTGTTGTACCCCAGGTCGAGTTTCTGCAGTTGACCCAGGCCTTGGAATGTCTCTGCAGGAATTGTGGTCAACACGTTGGAGCTCAGATCGAGTTCCTGGAGTTGACCAAGGCCTTTGAATGTCCCTTTCGGAATTGTGGTCAACCAGTTCCTGGACAGATAGAGTGTCTGGAGTTGATCAAGGCCTTGGAATGTCTCTGCAGGAATTGTGGTCAACACGTTGAAGCTCAGATCGAGTTCCTGCAGTTGACCAAGGCCTTGGAATATCCCCGCAGGAATTGTCGTCAACTGGTTGTAGCTTAAGCTCAGCCATCGGAGCTTCTTTAGTCCTGCAAACGTAGCTGGGTCAATCTTCTGGAGCTTGTTTCCGTTGAAGTCGATCACCTGCAGCTGTTCGTTTCGTCCGAAGATGGCCCCGAGCTCCTGGATGCGATTGCCCTTCACGATGGTTCTCGAAAACCCGCCCTCGGTTATTGTTTTGCCGCCCAAGAGAAGCTGCTCCAACAGCGGCAAGCGTCGCATCATCGCAGCCGAGAGCTCGGTGAGCTGGTTGTCGCCTTGGTCGATGCCAATCTGTGACACGGATTGAATGTCAAACTGTTGTGTCAAAGAAAAGAAATGTTTTTGTTCAAACTGTTCAGCTGCTGACCGGTGCTGACAGGTGCTGACAGGTGTCTCATCGCTAATAGTTTCAGCTGCTCCAAGCCGCGAAAGGAATCTTCGTGCAGCGTTTCCAGCTCAACTCGTGTCAAGTCCAACTGCTCCAATGATGGTAGACCTGAAATGAAACATCAATGTATAGCTGGTATGAACATCACACATTGTGTCATTGCACTGCCAACACCGCTCAAATCTTCCGGCCTTCGAAGAGGCCCGGACGCAGATGGATCAAGCTGTTGTTCGCCAATGACAGGCGCTTCACATGTCCAAGTGAGCTGAAAGCCTTTGGGTCCACAGCAGTGATGTTCTTCGCAGCAAGGTTCACCTAAAAGTCAGAGCATATCCGTAAGCATCCATAAACAGACGGGTTTGTCCGAAAAGATGGTGCCTCAATGTTTGATGGTTTATCATTATTGTCACCATTCAATGACCATTTTGGGGGTCTACCGTGGGGTCTCGGTAGACCCCATTTTCAGACACACCCAGAAAAACAAACCGCCGGTGATCCGCCCGGCCTGCTTCTGTCTGAGGACGGCTGCAAGGGTGCAGCTGTCAATCTGTTGGCCAGCTGAGTCAGCATTGCCAGAGCAACGGCACGGAAAACACCTAGGAGACACTTGTAATCCCATTCTACGACCTCTTGTTAGATCTTTTCATGAAGACCTCCAATGACAACAAGATACACAAACAATTCCCTGAGAGCTCAACGTGAAATCCTGTCCATGGGTCATTGGAAAAACGTCCTGCAAAGGCGCTTGAACAAGTGTCGTCAAATCAAAATCACAGCTCGAGGTCACTCACGCAAATCTTATGCAGAAGTCCTGCGTCACAAGGAGAATCACCAGCATCGAAAGGAGCCCAATGGAAAGGGAGCACCCAAATAGTGTTGGAAGAACTCTCCGTTTTTGGCGCTCGCCCCTGACATGCTGTTTGCTGTTGTCAGTTCACAACGAAACTGTCATTTTTGCATGGCAAAATCTGGCATGGCAAGCTGTTTAAGTCTTAGTGTCGAGGCCTGGGTCGCACTGGCAAGCTCCAATTGGTGTGCTGCAAAATGTGTGCAATGCAGCATGCGTGCGCTACGTTAAAATACACGGCGCCATAGCCCAGAAAGTCAGTGGGAAAGGCGAACACAGGGCTGATACGATTGCCTCAGATATCAAAAAAGTTGCGGTGAAGATCCCAGTCAAATTAAATGGCGCCGCTATGCCATGCGAAACAAGGCGCTTGAGACGCTTACATTTCACTTGATACCGGTTGACGCATTGACTTCATTGAGCTTAGTTTCTGAATTGCAACGTCAAGTCCTCGCCAAAATTTCCCCAGCCTTCGGAGGCTGTCTGCAATCGCAGCATGGCCACCAAAACCTTGCAGCAATTACACTTTTGCGTTTCCCGACTGAACGCCATCTGCCAAGCCATCAATGAAACGACGTTGAAACCCGTGAGACTTGTCAAACAAAATGAATTGAAACCTAGATGCCATACCCAGGTAGGTCAAGATGTAGCCAAGGTCCAGAGCAGCATCCATAAATGCTGCTCCAATTCGAGCCCAGGCAGTGTCAGGGAACATCAGAAGAAAGGCGGGATAGAGACTGTTCCAACAGAGTAGGGCAAAGAAAGCCCAGAAGCCGAGACTAAGCCAAAGAATGGCAGTCGCATCTTGTTCTTCTTGGGCGAAGGTAACGAGGCCGCCCAACAAGGAGATCTTTCCCAAGGCCTGCACCGCAACGGTGAAGCATTGGAAGATCGCCACCTTGAAGGGGTAGTAAGCTCCGCGCAACCCAAAATACTTTTCCTCAGGACCAAGAACACCGAGATACCGCGTAAAAAGGGTACCTTGAATGAAGTAAATTCTTGGATCCTGACGGAAAGCGTTAGTAATTTTCAACAAGATGAAGCCCACGAACCCGAATGCTCACACGTATGTTAATGGTACAGATGTCAAAGCACATGGTTATGCAGTCACGCACAATACCTTTCTGCAATAGTTTATTTGAACAGTCTTGTGCATGTGTCCCTTGTTACCAGTCTGCAGTGTGGAGTGGAAATGGAGTGTGAAGCAAGGACTGTGGAGTGTAAAGTGTGCAGTGGGGAGTGTAGAGTGTGTAAAGTGTAGAATGCGGAGTGTAAAGTGTAGAGTGTGGAGTATGGAGTGTAAAGTGTAGAGTGTGGAGTGTAGAGTGTGGAGTGTAGAGTGTAGAGTGTGGAGAGGAGTGTAAATGCAAAGTGGTGGAGTGGTGGAGTGTAAAGTGAGGAGTGTAAAGTGCAGGAGTGGTAAAGTGTGGACTGGGATGTGGAGTTTGTAAAATTTAGAGTGTGAAATGTGAGTGTAAAGTGTGAGTGTGGGGTGTAAGTGTGGAGTGTGGAGTGGTGAGTGGCAAAGTTGGAGTGTAATGTGGAGTGTAATTGGAAAGCGTGGAGTGTAAGTGGTAAAGCGTGGAGTGTAAAGTGTAAAGTGTGTGAGTGTAAGTGTATAATTGTAGAGTGTAAGTGTAGAGTGGTGGAGTGGGGAGTGTAAAGTTGGAGTGTAAAGTGTAGAGTCTGGCATGTGGAGTGTAAAATGTGGAGTGTACAGTGTGAGTGAGTAGTGTAAAGTGTGGAGTGTGGAGTGTAAAGTGTGAGTGTGGAGTGGTGGAGTGGAAGTGTGGATGTGAAGTGTGGAGTGTGGAGTGTGGATTGTAAGTAATGAGTGTTTATTGTAGATTGTGAGTGTGGAGTGAGAGTGTAAAGTGTGGAGTGTGGAGTGTGGAGTGTAACGTGTGGGAGTTGAGGAGTGTAAGTGTTGAGTGTGGAGCGTAAGTGGTTTTGGGAGTAAAAGGTTGTGGAGTGTGGAGTGTAAAGTGTAGAGTGTGGATCTGGAGGGAAAGTTATGTTTGGGGTGTGTAGAGTGCGAGTGTGGATGGTAAAGGAGAGACATGTACAACGTGGACGTGTGGGAGTGAGGAGTGTAAAGTAATAAGTGTGGAGTGTGGAGGGTACGTAGAGTGTGGAGATTTAGCTGAGTGCGGAAAGTTTCTGAGGGAAAGTGAGAGTGGGGAGTGTGGAGTGTGTGTGTGTGTGGGAGGTGTGAGTGTAGAGTTGGTGAGAGTTGTAAAGTGAAGTGTGTGTGGAGTGTGAAAAGTGTGGAGTGTAAAGTGTAGAGTGTGGAGTGTGGAGTGGAAAGTGTAGAGTGTGGAGTGTGGAGTGTAAAATGTAAAGTGCGGAGTGTAGAGTGTAGAGTGTGGAGTGTGGAGTGTATAGAGTAAAGTGTAGAGATTAAAGTGACGAGTGTAAAGTGACGAGTGTAAAGTGTGGAATGAGGAGTGTAACGTGTGGAGTGTACAGAGTGGAATGTGGAGTGTGGAGTGGAAAGTGTGGAGTGTGAAGTGTGGAGTGTAAAGCAAGGAGTGTGGAGTGTAAAGTGTGGAGTGTGGAGTGAGGAGTGTAGTGTGGAGTGCAGAGTGTAGAGTGTGGAGTATGGAGTGTAAAGTGTAAAGTGTAGCGTGAGGAGTGAGGAGTGAGGAGTGGAAAGTGTAGAGTGTAGTGTAAAGTGTGGAGTGTGGAGTGTAAAGTCTCAGGTGAGGAGTGAGGAGTGTAAAGTGCAAAGTGTAAAGCGTGGAGTGTAAAGTGTAGAGTGTGGAGTCTAAAGTGTAAATTGTGGAGTGTGGAGTGTAAAGTGTAGAGTGTGGAGTGCGGAGCTTCCCCCATAGACACGGCGATGCCACAGGAAAAACAGAGAGTCGAGACGAGACACGTGGGTGCAAAAAACGAGCATTTCGTACGAGACTTCCTCCAATTTTGACATTTTCGACACGTTATCAAACAGCTTGGAATGTCACGAAGTGCCACGCCTGCCACGCAAAAGGACATGACAACCGGCTTGGAAACCTTCGAAAAGGAGAGGTTTTGCGGCTTCGCCCTTGCGGCTTCCCCCAAAGACACGGCGAAGCCACAGGAAAACTAGAGACTCGAGACGAGACGCGTGGGAGCACCAAAACGAGCATTTTGTACGAGACTTCCGGCAATTTTCACAGTTGGCAACATGACAAAAGGACAGGTTTTGCAGCTTCCCCTATGGACACGGCGAAGCCACGGGATAACCAGAGACTCGAGACGAGACACGTACGAGCACCAAAACGAGCATTTCGTGCGAGACTTCCTCCAATTTTCACACTCTGTAGCTTCAAAATCGACGTTTTCCTACGAGTTTTCCTACCTCAAAATCGATGTTTCGTGCGAGGCTTCCGTCAATTTTCAGCACATGTCACAAAATGCCACGCTTGCCACGGAATTTGCACCTTGTCGCCATTTAACGCAGCCCTGCCAATGCGATTTGCAAAAAAAACGCAACACGACACGTCTAAAGTGCTGCGCCTGCCACGCAAAATGACGATGGACACGTCCAAAGTGCTGCGCCTGCCACGAAAACTGCAACACATCTTCTGAAAACGTCGCAAAAGTGTTGCGCCTGCCACACAAAACAATTTTCGACACGTTACAAAACACGTCTGAATGTCACGAAGTGCCTGCCACGCGAAACGAAGCAACGAGATGTCGGAAACCGCCAAAAATGACCACCTCTGCAGAACTTACCATCGGCACGGCCATATAGCAATCGCGCGAACGGTTGCGGACGGTTGCGGACGGTTGCGAACGGTTGCGGACGGTTGCGACCGTGAACGCAACGTCTAGCGAACACACCCTCAACCCCCAGACCCCCAGAGTGAAACGGGAACCCTTGCTACGCATTCGGGAAAAATGCCGACCCCCTTTATCCATTGTTGTATCACAATTTCCCGGTTTGAATTTAGACTGGTGGATGTAGATAATGTAGGTTTCAACCACCTATTCTTAAACCTCCTTCGCAAGACACACAAAAACTGCATCTGTCTAGAAACGTAAAGCACCTCCGTGGGTCGCGGCCTCTTCCGACTCGTCTTTCGGCACAACAGCTGTAACAGGAACACCACAACCAGGACCAAGTAGGGCAGGGCCAGAAATGCGGCCTCAGTTCCCGCTTCTTCATTCTGTAGTTTCAAGAGAAACACCACACTGGAACTTGGATGAACTTGAAATGGTTTGCCATCAAATGACACAAATGAGTTCTGTGGCACAACAAGCATATTTGAAAATGTCAAGAATGTGACAGAACTCCCACACCTCCAAGAACGTCTCATTGGACTCCTCAGTGTCCAGCAGCAAGGCATCCAGAAGGAAGTCGGACAGACGAGAACGGATCCTGCAACGGATCTATATGATGCCTGGAGAATTGTCATGCTGCGGCCTACGATGGAATTTGGGTACCATAAGGTAAACATACAAAAAGATGTGGAAAAACCATTGTTTCACTGTGACATCTACAAATAGTGGATTTTCCACATCTATCTTAGTTGACCCCAGGGTAACCATGCAGTAAAACCTGTTGATAATTCGTTTCTTTCCTGATCATCGCTATCAACCCCTAGTAGCAATCTCCTACACGTAGTGGCATGGGCATGACGATTTTCATCCAGTTTCATGGCCAGAAGGTACCAGGGTGGGAAAAGACCGAACAGTCTCCTGGGAGCGTAACGCAGGAAATATTGGATGGCCATGAAGAAGGACACGACCAACGCCACAATCTGCAAGAAAATGGTCCCTGCCATGGTCAAAGGCCCGACACTGGATGCATCATTGCAAAGCCTGGCACGGCGGCATGGCACTGGATGAAACGCTCCAACCTGTCGACTTTGGACACACACATATCCTGTTCAAAAGCCGTTTCATTCGGTTCCTTTGATTCCTTTGGTTCCTTGGGTTCCTTTGGTTTCTGATTTCTCGCCTCAGTGAAGTCTCCCATTTTGATTTCACGTCATCCAACAGCCCAAAATTGTCCGCCAACTTGGTCAAATCGCTCAGCTGATTCTCGAGCCTGCTCCAAACATGGAATGGAAACTTCAAACTCAACAACATCAACAACCAAAACACTCGAGACTTCTCAGAAGTAGTGGTTGTTTTCGAGCAGGACACGACAGAGCTTTCGCAGAAAGTAGTTTTTGAAGAGGCAAGTCGCTCAGTTCCATAAATCATTATGAAAGAACGTAAATCGGCTAGTCTTCAAGAGTGGGGACCCTCCAAAACCCATGGGGGCATCATCATTTTTCCCTTCCAAACTGGTGATTGTGGGGTCCCCAAGTTCGAGAAAACTTTTTTTCCCGGTCATCTATGGCGTGGCCTGGTCAGAGTGACATCCATGAGAAACACAGAGGAATAATAATCTTCCACCTGCAGAACTACCTGACCAGCGGAAGCTTCGCAGATGCAAATTCCATTGCCAAGTTCAAAAATTAGATGATTCTCAAAACACCAACGGAGTTTTATGCCACAATCCACTGTGGGGTATGGAAAAGCCATCATGATTCATGATAATAATGATGACTTCCCCCTAAATTTTGACAGAGATCAAGCAGGAACATCGAATTTTCGTTGATTTTGCCGATTTTGCCTCCTTGATTGTGGATTTGGGACTCCGTTCTAGGAAAGAAAACTGACATCTTCCAGTTGACTTTGTGCCATTTTCAAGGCGGAGCCTGGCAGCATTTTGGGCCGCTGGCCCCGCTCATCTCGGCAAAGGTGTCCCGGACACCAGCGATCCGCACGCCCAAAGCGACCATTTCTTCGCTCGCAAGGCGGTCCTATCTCGGACAGCCAGGTTGCACAGTTTGGGCCTACATTAGATGCCTGGTCTACATGTAGGCGGCATTAGAAACCATGTTAAAAGATACAGATGTTTGAAACCAGATTGCACACACCTTCTGGTTGAGTCAGTTGATTGACGGCAAAGCAAAACGGACACTGAATCCCTGTGCACCTTGAGGCCCTTGAATGCTTCCTGGACGGATTGCATGTTTTCGCACATCAATTCAAATCGAAGCGCGTCCAGAACTTGTTGCGGGCCTTGCTGCTCGATGGACGAAATTGAAAATGTGCAGGAACATCAAGAAACCATGATCATGTCTTTGGATTCTTGGGGGTTGAACTTTTTTGGATTAATCCGAGAAAGCACATATGGATCATAAATTCATCTAGTTGGATCATATTGGATCATCAAAACAAACTTCACTGGGACAGCCCCCAAGAAAATATCTGCTTGTAACAATATGCATGATATTGCATGATATGCATTCTGCATCTCTCAACTTGTACACGCGCACCTGTGAAACCTTCTTGAAGGGCGCCACATGTTTGAAAGGATTGTTGCCAAAAGAAGTTGAAAACAGATGAAACCTTCCAAAAGAAAAATTCACTTGGGTCTGTATAAACAACTCAAGCACACGACGTTATAATTTGGATAGCCTGTCCATGACCGGGGAAAATGATTAGATACTGGCACCAGCACGAGAAGCTGCTAACATGGTCGAGCGGCTTCGCTTCTCTTCGTCACTCAAATTGGTCAGCAGTTTCAGCTTCAATGTAGCATCCGGCAGCGCCACGTTCATGGCTCTCCTGAGGCAAAGCCATGAGGACGTGGAAGTTTGCGATGTGGAGAAGCTCTCAACAAAAAAACACGCCCCAGGAATACACGAGACAAGGCACCGCAATAGAGGGAGATGTTGTTGCGCACCCAAAAATATTCCAGCCCTGCAGGCACGCATTTTGACTTGAATTCAGTCAAAAACATGCAGGAATGGAGTGGAATGAAAAGGAATGGATGCATGTCAGCACACTCACATGTACAGAGCGAAGCATGAGGAAGTTAGTAGGCGCACGTCTCATGTTGCTTCCAAGACGCAAATTTTCGCTTTGTTGACGTAGTTCTCGAGAATCTGCATAGCCGCAGCCCATTGTAGGAACACGGAGCATGACGCTCTGAGTCTCTGGTAGCTGAAGCACCTGTCATGTCGCCAGGTCTTGACAAGATCGGTTCTTGGTTCACATGGGTGTGTCTGAAAATGGGATCCCCAAATGGTTATTTGAATAGAGAAAATAATGATATTCCAGTAGATTTAGGGGTACACTATTTCAGACAAACCCACATGTGTGGACAACATAAGGCCCTCGCTCAGGTTGGCCTTTGCTTACATTCCTTTTTTCAGCCAAGCATGGTTTATATTTACTCATGGCGTTCTTGTCTCTCTCGATTTTCTCGGTTTGGCTTTCGATTGTCCCACTCTGATTCTTATTGGGGATAAGCGTGTCAGAAACCTCTCAAAGAGACATACATCATACATCTTGTGAAGAACAAACACTGGAAGGATTCGAACAGGGCACCTGGGAGTAACTTGCTTCTGTTGCCACCGCTTCCTGCAGAATTTGCGTTCTCACGGTGTCAAAGCGAATGCTCGTCGTCACGATGCTACCTGGGACGCTGGGACCCGGACTCCGTTGCCGGTTGCTCAGCGGCACCATGTTGCGCCGTTGAGTCATCTCCAAGTCACACGGATAAACATCCGCGTAAACATCGTGGCTAGCTCAATTGCAGCCTATGATTTCCTATGGTGTTTTCGACGCGTCGTGATTCTGATTCTGTCCTGTCTGGATTGGAAAATTCGAGTACAAGCAGTGCGACTGCAAGATCTGAGTCACTCAGCACTATCACGGAGAGCAAAGTGCAGATCGCAGCCCATGGAACTCCCAAAGACTCTTCCAGTGACAAGCAGGCAACAGGGTACCTGCCGTGAACTCAGCATTCAAAGATTCTTCAAGTTTCAAGATGGCCAGCCCTCACAAGTCTCCGTGCAACTTAGGCACAGCGAAAGCAGGATCACGGCAAGGGTCGTCCGCTGCTGAATCTCAGCAGCAGCCTGCAATGTAAAAAGTAAGCTGAGTTCGGCCCATCGCCAAGCCTGGCAGGCAACCAGGGCTAAGCTTCCGCTACACCGCAAAGGCGAAAAATCAACCCCCAAATAGATGGAAAAGTAAAATCCGATTAAAGTGATAAATTGGACCTGTTCTATCTTTTTGGGGATGACTATAGATTTTGTTGATATACATTCTGCAGAACATCACAACTAAACACAACTGGCCGAGGGGCTGTCCGCCACCAGGATGCCAGTTTCCACCAGTGTCGCAGTAGCCGATGTTTAGGGCAAAATCCATGAACGTTTTCATGGAATTCATGGCATCTGCTGTGGCTGCATGGAAAGGGAGCTCGCCCTCCACAGTCGTCCATGGCGTCGTCAAAATCTACGTAGTCCACAGCCTTGCTACCAGCCAGCTCCACCTCCTGCTGACATGCTGTGTGAAAACAGATCTTGGAGTTACCATGAAAACAACATCCAAACAAAATTGATGGAGTGTTCTGTTTTTTCATTCATTGCAACAGGTCAGTGATCTCTGTTTTTCCCAAACAACACTCCATGTTTTCTTTTCAAAAAACCTCCGGATCGGATCCTGGACTTGCGGCTGGCATCCAGACCAAGACCATGACCACGAAGGTTCAGCAACTCCCTGGCGTGAACTGTGAACAAGAACATGACAAATTTGTGAATTGATCTGATGTATTTAAAATCTGATTGACATTGATGAACTGTAATGAACTCATATTTGAACATTTTCAAATTGTCTCGACTACCTAGGTTTCTTGCAATTAACTCACATCAAATTAGCATTAGGAGCTCCCCAGCCTCAATCGTCAACCGAAGATCCAGTCCCCTCCTAGCTCTCTTCAGTTGTTTGACGCAGGCATACCTTGCTGGAGCCGTGTCACATCGTACGAAATGGCAACTTGGCCCTGACTACTCAGCTACTCCAAGTTGAACAAGGGGAATTCACGGTGGGGGATGTGTACTGCCAATGTGACGATCTGGCATTGAATGCAGCAGAGGATCAGCGACTGCTTTGCTTCAGGAGGAACTTGGCCACAGCGCTTCAGCTGTAAAACCAACTCTTCCAGCTGTAGCTTTGTGAGCGGCTCCCATGAGCCCAGCTCCACCAAGGACCTAAGAAATGTCTTCGAAAACTCCATGTACATACTACGCATGTGGTGACATACATACATATGAGATACAATGCAATAAAAATCGCAATACTGATATCCACAATTGCATCCGCATCCACAAAAGCTCAGCTGCCAACGGAAGGTTGGAAAACCACAGCTGCAACGACTTCAGAGACCGTGCGAGGCACTGCTCTGTGTCGAGCATCTGTGCCAAGCCGGACGCATCTGCCAACCTGGAGCCCGTGAAGCGCAGGGTGAGCTGCTCCAGTGGAGGCATCTCCTGCGAATTCGACGGAATGAGAAATGCACACATTACCATTCCATTACATCTATTGGTATCTATTGGTTAAAAGTTAAATCCATATTTGTGCATAGTATATCCTGAATTCATGAAATCCATAGCATAGCCCTATATTTTTGTTGGTCAAATCCATTCAAATCCCCAACTTATCTCATCCCCGACTTAGTGAAAATCCTTCAGGCCCCGCCACCCGCGCCTTCTGGAAGTTCCATGATTGGACCCCGCTAAAGGCCAGATCCAAGCGGAGCAGACGCAGCTGCCTGCCGTTTTGCCCTTTGAAAAGCTGGTTCGCTGGTGGAAAATCTTCGGAAAAAAATGGGTTTCCCCCATCAAATATAGGGGTGTCTTAAGGGATTCCCTTAAACCAATTGAATGACTGGTAAATTTGCTATGACAACAATAGCAGAATCTTTGACAGAATGTTGTCTTCCATGATCAGACTTTCAACTTTCCTCCTGCGACATGCTGGAACCCCAACCCGAAAAGCCTCGGCAAGTGATTCAGCAGCTGCTGCAGCGAGTCATCCCCAAAGCCACGGCAGCCTGTGAAGGACAACTCCACCATATGCCGTGAGCTGTCGGCCGCCAGGGCTCTCCGAAGGTTGCTGGTGTCGTGCCCCTGCGTAACGGCACCAAACCAGGAAGCGATGGCAAAATGCGCTGCCAGGGCCTTGTTCCTCAGCCCATCTTGGGAGCAACATGACGAAACTCACTTCCCAAGAGATCAAAGAACTCAACAGAAACAACTTCCCAAGAGATCAAAGAAACACATCCCAAAGAAACACGCTGCGCCACCTCAAGTCGATCGAGGCCCAGCGTCACAGCCGAATAATTTGGATCTTGAAGGGGCGCGACGTCAGTCAAATCCTCAGGTCCACGGAGGGTGTCAGGTCTACGTCCATCTACATCCAGGTCAACCCATGTGCCATTGATATCAAACATGAATCATGTGCACATTCGATCAGTTACCCTGACAACTCAACGTTTTACCTCGCATTTCAAATCTGACCATCTTACTTTCCGCTTAAACTCTGCATATGCACTGAGACCTCCAAACAAAAACAAAAAAACAGAGAAAAAACTGCACACTTGAGATGTGCTTCGGCATGCGCGACTATGAATTTCACATGGAGAATCTATGCTGTACGTTCTCATTTGTGGGCATGCAAGCCATGCACCGGACCTGGCCTTCGTCCTTGCTTGCGGCAGTCTGATGCAATTGAGGATACGGATCTTGTCCTCTGCTTTGCTGGCGTCAGCCTTTGAAATGTCGACGCTGAGACCCTGGCCACGGCACACATCGGCACTCTGCTGCGCTGGGGTACAGCATGACCCGTCTGCTTTCTTCACTGATGAGCGATTCCGAGGGTCAAAATCCGTGCTACCCATTTGCCAACTGTTTACGAGACAGAAAAGAAAGATCCGTCAAAAAAAAGGAAAAGATCCCTCTTGGGTTGGACACAGCTTGAAGTCCGCCTTCTGCGCGAGCAACGTGGGAAAGTTCGCTTCGCGCAAGGCCTTCATCAAAAAGCCCAACAGCGGCATCAAACGCGCCTCTGGGGCCGCCAGACCATCAGTGATCACGTGAGCCTGGGCATGCCAAGTTTTCCAGGTTTCTCGCAACTGATTTCCCATGGAAAACAACCATCTCATGGCCATGGCCTCATTGGAGGAGTCAGTGGCGGCCACGTCCAACAGCAGTGGCATCCCGGTGTTCCGCTCTTCAACCTGGACTTGGCCGGCTCGAAAAACATCACCGGCTGATAGGCACAGCCTTTGATTTGAGTGATATCTGCCATATTTCAGAACCACCACCTATGCACCTCCTTCAAAAAACAAGGTGTGTTCTTAAAACAAGGTTTGTTCTTTCATATTCTAAGCCTACTAGTATTTATCATATTTGTATATTCATCAAAAAACAAAGTTCGTTCTTTCATGTTTTAAGCCTACTAGTATTTATCATATTTGTATGTTATGTATTATATTTGTTTATAACCTTCTCGGTGGGGGAATGGCTTGAAGAATTTCTGCTGAACATTGGCTGGGCCACTGCAATGCTTTCTTCGAAACAGCACCAGATCCTGGTGAAGGGAGTGGTTGTTGTTGTTGTAAGCGGACGTCAACCTGCTCCTCACCGAAGTGAAGTAGTTAAGACGCCATAGTATGCCATCTGCGAGAATCAAGTTCCCATACTTCTCCAAGCAAAACTCAAAGGAAGCGAAGCCTGCCTGAAAAAAAGAAGTAAACACAGTGCGCCAGCTAGCATTCCGCAAGGAATGTTTGTTGATCAAGTACGACTTGCCAAAAAGGTAAAGTCCGTAGCCTCTGCAGACGCCAAACTGCTGCAGCCCAAGCCACGGCTCGCTGATGTCGCTGCACAGCCGCAGCGATCATGGAGCGTGAGTCACGCAACACCTCACCTGCCTGAGCATCGGCTGTCGCATTGAGAACGCGGCAGAGATGAACATCAATCCAACCATCTGGTGGTGTCCAGTCAGGCACCTTGTTGTGAGAAGGGATCCAAGTGCAAACAGTGCCCTGAATCAATAAGCCGCTGATCCGCTGCCAGAAAAGCGGCAAGTCACCCTCCCAACGGCCAGTGCTAATGCCTCGCTGAAGCCGCCGCACCAAAGCCTGATTGTCAATCAAGAGCATCACCGGTCTGTTAGCTGCAGAAGAGGCTAAACAAGCTTGCAGAAGAGCAGCACGCTCACCTGCAGCAGGTGTTTGCTCAAAACCAGTCACGGCACCTTGAACAGTGGTGCCTGAAAGTGTCGAAACCGCCCAGCTAGCTCTTTGCCATCGATCACAGGAAGTAGCTATGATACAACTGCCGTCCAAGCCCAAGGTGGGTCGCTGAAGAGGATCGAATTGCTGAATAAAAGTAACCAAAGCAGGATCTGCAACCATGTTGGAAAAAGGCAACACAGGAGGAGCATCCACAAGTGGAACCAGCAAACGACGTTCAGTAGCGCTCCTGAACTCACCATCCCATGGCTGCGCTTGGCAGTGAAAAGTGAGATGTTCTCGATCAGGAGACCGCAATCCACATTCACAACTCAAAGCAGAACCAAAGCGCTCTGTGACCCTGCCATCCACTGCAGCACCAGTCAAAAACCCTGCGACTGTAGTAATCCATGCCTAAAGCTGCATTTGCCTGAAAAAGGAAAACCGGCTCCTTGCCGTTTGGCCATCGACCATCCGTTTTGGTGTCTTTAGTCCACAAACCAACGAGCCATGAATGGATAGCGGCTTTTTGCAAGCTTTTCAAAGACATCCACCCAGGTTTCAAAATCCCAGCAGGCGTGTGCCACAGGCCCTCGTCAAGTCGCCATTTCCAATCTTTGAGCACTGCTTTCCAGCGAGGAGCAGGCGAGGTAGCTGCAGGCAACCCTTGGGCACGGCGGCATTGCCGATTCCATTCCGCCCGGGCGGCGGTGAACTGGAGCGCAAACATCGGATGTAGTCTTGCAGACCCCAAAGAATTCCAAAAGAGCAGCCGGCTCCTACCTGGAGGAGCCCTTCGACCCCAAAGTGCAGTTTCGATCATAGATGTCCATGTTCGAATGGTTCTTGCACTGAAGTGATGAAAAGCACCGGACCAAGCAAATAAAGATATCACCAACTTATGCACCAATGCAATGCGAGTGCCTAAGTGCTGTGCTGCCAAACGAATTTTGAGACATCGTCGCTGAATGTTGTCACTGACAATATCCGCATCAACACAAGAACTGGGGCGTGACAAATTGTATTGAATGCCAAGCAGTGTGAAAGTATCCGCAGGGACACCTACTAAATCTTTCTTCTTGCGCACCTTGGCAACCAGATGCGGTTTGGTGGCGAAGCTAGCCAATTTGTCAGGGTGAAGTTCGAAGCCGAGAATAGCATCGGCTTGCGCTCCCGCAGTCATGGCGTTGATGACCACTTCAAAACTTTGACACCCTTGTTTCCACATGGTGCGATCGTCCAAATAAATAGCCAAAGAAATCCTTGGTTCCTGCCGTTTGACAAACCTCACCCAAACTGTCATCAAAGCGTTCAGTAGCGCAGGGCTGGCTGGACAGCCTTGCAACAAACCCCGTTGAGCAAAAACCGGATGAGGGTGATAAGAACCTTGCCAAGCAAACCAACGACGCTGTTCACTGTAAAAATCAGCGAGTAAATCACAAATTGATGAGGGAGCACCGAACCATCGCCACACTTTAATGGCTGTCTGGGGGCAAACTGAATCAAAACACTTGCGAACATCAGCTTTGCACCCGACCAAATCGACACGAGACTGCTTTGCCGTGCTGACAGCTTCGTAGAAACGTTCATGGACTTCCATGATGCCCTTGCCTGGTAGACCACCAAAAAGTTCGGGCGAAGCCCATTCAGCAATCCAAGGCTGTAATTTTTTCAGAGTGGCACTCATGCAAATACGCCACAGGACAGTGACAATGGCTAAAGGGCGCATGCCACCAGTAGCTTTTGGTAACAAAGCAATTCTAACATCTTTCCACATCGCAGGAACACAGCCATGTCGCAAGCAAGCATCCCAAAGAGCACCGATCTGATCCCAAAAAGCAATGGGAAGATTGCACAAATGGAGAGCTGTCCAGGCATCCATGCCCGGAGCCTTGTCCTTCGCTTTGAGCGCAATCCGAGCCAATTCAGAACCACTAACCTGAATACAGTCATCCGGCAATGGATCGCTTGCAGAGCCCATCTGAGAGTACAACTGGTCCCCCAGATTCAAATTCGGAAGCGACCCTGGATTCCAATACCTCTCCCAATCCAATGCTGCGCACTTGGCCCTATCTGCAGGTAGAATGGGGCCATCAAAACTTGCAGTAGGACTGGCGGGCGGCACCTGTTTGACCCACCTGCCTAGTTTGGTGGCATTTTCCTGCACGCTGTCCTTCCACGCCTCCAAGCGTAACTTGGACGCTGCTGTAGCTTCTGCATTTGCCAATTCTAGCACTGCACTAACCAACCTGGGGTCATCCAAAGAGAAAAAAGCCAAAGAATGATGTAAATGAGGGCCATCACGAACCAACTTCTTCTCCAACTCTGGCAACGGGGCCTTTTGGTACTCCACCACTCTTCGTGCGAAGCGTCTGAGCTTGCGCTCTTTCACTGTTTGCAAAGAAGGCGCTTTTGAGGGGAGTGGCATCCCGGTCCAAGATCAGCACGACCCCAACGGCCAGCTTCATGGCCTTGTAGAAGGATGTCCCACGTGGGTTCGCCGAGATCTCGTCCTGGCGAGCACTTCTTGGATTTTTTGCTTCAGCAAACCCCCCAAAAAAGTAGATTGGATTCAATAGGTAGTGGATTTTGGAATGGGAACATAGAAAGAAACATCTTCATCGAAACTTGAGGCCCCGGCAAGGTGAACGAAAGCTAAAGCTAAAGGTCATATGAACGTGGAAATAGGTGAGCGGAACTTGGAAACATGCAGGGAAGTGCAGACGATACTCATCCACAGGGAAGGAGTCAAGATGGTTGCAAAGAATTGTGTAATGTCCAGCTTTCAATCATAGAACATGCGAATCAAAGAACATGGTTACTGAATAAAGTTGGGGCGTCATCTAGAAGTGTAATTTTTGATGGGGCTGAAATCCTCAACCGTTGATCTGAGTCACAAAGAATTTTTTTGGGGCCACTGCCAAATTGTTGGAAGCTCTGGCGAGCTTAGAAAGTTTCAACCAAAGAAGATTGGTACGCGACAAAGTTTGGGCCCCATCCAAAATTATAATTTTGATGGGGCTCAAATCTACACAGTGTTGACCTGAGTCAGAAAGAACTCTATCGAGCCTAATGTTCTGGTGAGGCATCTTGCGCAAGAGTTCCATCCGAACAACCTGTAACCTTCCGTTGCAAGTCGCAAAACATCGGAACCAAAGAAGATGGGGCCCCATCCAAAATCACAATTTTCGATGGGGCTACAATCTACACAGTGCTGACCGGAGTGAGAAAGAACTCTATCGAGCCTAATGTTCTGGCGAAGCATCTTGCGCAACAGTTCCATCCGAACAACATGCAATCTTCCGTCGCAAGTCGTAAAACATCTGAACCAAAGATGATGGTAAAGTTTGGGCCCCACCCAAAATTGTAATTTTCGATGGGGCTCAAATCTACACAGTGTTGACCTGAGTCAGAAAGAACTCTATCGAGCCCAATGTTCTGGTGAGGCATCTTACGCAAGAGCTCCATCCGAATAACATGTAATCTTCCGTTGCAAGTCGTAAAATAACCAAAGAAGATGATGACTCTATAAAGTTTGGGCCCCATCCAAAATTGTAATTTTTGATGGGGCCCAAATCTACACAGTGTTGACCTGAGTCAGACAGAACTCTAGAGCCCAAGGTTCTAGTGAGGCATCGCGCACAAGAGTTCCATCCGAACAACATGTAATCTTCTGTCGCCAGTCGTAAAACATGTGAACCAAAGAAGAAGGTGACTCTATAAAGTTTGGGCCCCACCCAAATTGTAATCTTTGATGCGGCTCAAGTCTACACAGTGTTGACCTGAGTCAGAAAGAACTCTATCGAGCCTAATGTTCTGGTGAGGTATCTTGCGCAAGAGTTCCATCCGAACAACGTGCAATCTTCCGTTGCAAGTCGTAAAACATCTGAACAAACGAAGATGGTGACTCTATAAAGTTTGGGCCCCGTCCAAAATTGTAATTTTTGATGGGGCTCAAATCTACACAGTGTTGACCTGAGTCAGAAAGAACTCTATCGAGCCTAATGTTCTGGTGAGGTATCTTGCGCAAGAGTTCCATCCGAACAACATGTAATCTTCCGCTGCAAGTCGTAATACATGTGAACCAAAGAAGATGGTGACTCTATACATAAAGTTTGAGTCTCATGAGATAGGATGCCTGTCCAGATCTCTTTTTTCACCACCTTGTTTTTGTTGTTGAGCAGCTGCGGCACGTTTCGGCTGGCATCAACTGGACAGCACATAGACTCAACAAATCATGAGCTAGAGAGTTACAGAGGGACGGCCCTGGCAGGATTTGAGCCCGTGACCATCTGCTTCCGAGACTGCTTCAAAATGCCCCGGGAGCTTAGGGGGGGTTCAAGTGAAAAATCACTGTGTTGGACTCGGACCTGCCCCTCCCTTGCTGAAGGAAGAGTAACTCAGCTAGCTACCGCTAGCTTTCGTGACCATGATTTGGGATTGAATCCAAACTTTAAATCGCCAAAGCCATGAGATGTCATGAGCACAGCACTCCTGCAGCTTGTGTTGATTATTTGCGTACGCACAGACCCAGTATGCTAGTCCCACGGCATTCCGCAGTTCCGCGTGCTGGCGCAGGCAAGCAACAAAGCAACACACGGCTTCTTGCCACGCATGGCTCACAAACCAACACGGGAACTGCGTTTCTGCGTCTTTGGCAACGAGCTCCACGAAGCTGCACCTGTACCGCAGGGTAGCTGGCTTTATGACCCAATGAGATGTGTGGTAGAGGCTGAAGGTCTGCAGCTCCAACGGCTGTTCAAAGTTTGGGCTGCCAGAGTACCTGGGGTTTGAGTACGGAGCGAAAGCTGAACTTGAAACAAAGAAAACTACATGAACTTGGCAGCCGTGGATATGCCTGAAAGCAACAACTAGGACCAGCTAGAACCAACTCCACTTATGTCAAGGAACGTCTCCACCCAGAGGTGCGCATGGTCACGGATGAAATCCACCAGCTGCGAAAGCTGCTTCAAGTTGATCCCGCGGCATTCCGTTTGTGGGACGTTGATGGCACTGCTGCCCAAGGCATCGTAGCTCACCAAAGTATACCTCAGTTTCCCATGTCCCAACCTGGAGGACTAGCGTAGCTGTCGAAGACACGACACGTCAACAGTCCAGCAGTGAGTGCAGCAAACGTCTTCGAAACCAAGCAACGCAGCAGCTTCCAGGGCAGTGCCTGGTTTTAAATGTTGGACACCCTGGGAAAGCACGGCATTCTCCCAGCCACCTGAGTTTCGGACATCACCAATTGAGCAGTCAGAAAAGTCTGTTTGTTAGGAAACTGCCACGAGCTGGTTGATAACATCTAAGAATCAATGGATATCAATGGCATGAGCCCCTTCATGACTGATTAAAACCCCCCATGACGTTTGAAATGGCTCACCTGGCTGCGTCTTTTGCGCAGCGCAAATGGCATCTTCCACCGTCGCGGGCAGTGGGCATGGGATCACGCCCGATGCGCCGGCGCCACCGGGGAGGGTTACGGCAGCTGTGGCCATCGCGAAAAATTCCAAGGAAATCCAGCAATTGAAAAAACTAAGCAGCTGAACACCTTGAATTAAATCAAAACGCTGCAGTCACAGGGATATCAGAGGTATCGAGAACACTCTCGCAGCCGTGGCATGTGCAGATGCGAATCTGGATGAATCTGCTGGATTTGCGCAGCTGTCCAAGCGACTCAGGATGGAACTGAAGGATGAACCGCACATGTCCACCTTGCTGATGGTTTCGGCGAAACAGCACACGGATGAAGCTTTAAATCGAAGGACTGCTTTGCGGTTCCAAAAAGCTTTGGTGCGCTTGCAGGTTGAACTCTATCAAACCAAAAAATGAGCTTTGCATAGTATTGTCATGTCTTGTCTGCATAAGGGCTACCTTCTGTAAGAAAAATGCACCTTTAGCCCTTACAGAAGATAGCACAAGGTCACCTTTTTCTTATACAACGTGGTATCCGACCAACCTGGCCGGAAACCGGCAAAGTGTATCAAGGTGTGGCAAGATGAAAACGACCAAGGTGTTTCCCCACAAGATTGTGCAATTTGCCAGCGGTGTGTAGAAATTTGTCAACATAGATCATAACGCACACATGTGTTGATTTATGTTGATTTTATCTGATCTACTCAGAGGGATGAGTGGGAAACTGAATGGATGCCGACTGGGAAACAAATCACTTCACAAAATGAAGACCCAGCTGGTTGCTGTCAGTTTTTCCGTGGTTCTTCGACCACCTGCAGGCATGAAAAATGCGTTTCGAACTAGTTGGTCAGCAGAATGCGACGCTACTTGGCAATAGATGGGATCCCTTATTGGCAATCGCGCTGGTACGAGATCTTGTCCACAGTGCCAGCACAATCCAGCCCACACCCCAGGGGTTCAGGAATCCAGGTATCCCGCCTGTCAGGTCTCGTTGGCGACAACATGGCTTTCCAACTCTATAGTTTGTGCAGCTGAATGCAATACTGTGATCATTGCATGAACCCTATACCTTTGTCGATGGCTCTGTGTGAGGGTTTTTTGCGTTTTGTGTGACCTTATGTTTCTGCTATGTTCTTCCTTGTGCCGCCCTGCCCAGTTTGTGTTTGGTCCAATCAGTGAATCAGGATTCATGTGCAGGTCGACACGGTCCAGGCTTTTAGGCTTTTGACGGAGATTTCTTTCCACAAAACGCTTCAGAATAAAAAGATGCTTGATCCATGGGTCCTTGTGTAGAGTTTGGAAACGTGTTGATTAGCAGAAAAGCACCAGAGAATGCCACCTAGCCCCTCGCACCAAAGAAGCCCATGCTGACCAGCTGGCAAATCTTCTCCTGACGACTCCAGGCTGGTACACACTGCATGCTGCATCCTACACATTCCTCACACTTTGAAACGGCGAAATCAATGCCAGTTTCCAACCATCACGTGACGTACACTTCGTGGAGGGATTGAAGGCTAACAACAAGCAACCACAACCAGAACAGCCACAACAACGACGACGACAACCACCAGCAACAACGAACCACAACCAGAACAGCGACAACAACAATAAATCATGCCCGAAATGAATCTTTAAACTAGAATCTCCCCAGCGTTTCTTCTTCCCAAGGATTGATTTCCGCAGAAAAATGGTAATGATGATGTCGATGGTGATGCTGTTTCAGTGACTACCACGCCTAACAAAGTTTGCAAATGTTGCCACACGAAGTGCAAGGTTGGAAGCTGATCCACTTCAGGCTTGGATTTCCCGATTTGTTTGTTTTCTCTTGTGTTGATTTGTCGAGCAAGTGGCTTCTAAGATTTCCAGACACCAAATGAATGAATGAATTGGGGACTCTCAAAAAGTGAAATGTTCCATGCTGTTCCATGCAACTAGGCTGAATATCCAGCCACGAAGCATCATAGAATCGGGAGGCCGAGATCTGATTGTTACCCCCGCCACCGAGTAACTGACCAAATTCTCATGGTCAAAGCAGCCTCGCCTTCCTGGTTTCGTATGAGCTTCCTGAAATAAAAGAAGACTTTGTTTGTGCAAGTTGCAGTCGCCTGCGAACAAAGAACAAAGGAATTATAAAGGGTTTTAGAAAGTGTTGGTGGATGGACTGTACAGAGCCACGTATCAATCAAAATTCTGGCTGTACATCGCAACATATTACTGGCACACCATGCAATAACTGGGCAGTCTTCAAAACCCTCTGTCGCCTTTTTTCCCACAATGGATTGCGATGGTCCTCACTCTGTTTGGATAGTATGACCCTCGGGTAATTATGAATCCACAGGAGTTTGAACACTGCGTGATTGGGTTGCAAATGTCCATCTCAAAGGATATGGTTTGTCAACTGCTATTAAAACCAAGGATCTGCAGGATATCATGTGCCGGGGAATCAGTGCATGAAATTGCTAAACATTTCCTTCTGAAAACGCAGGCCGATCAGGTTGGACTCCAGGACTGGAAACTAAGACTATGGCCAACTCTAATTGGCAGTGCATATCATATGCACAATTCCCTCATGCGGTACTGTCTCTGCAGTACGTTCGCTCGCAGCAATGGTGTCAGTGCGAAAGACACTTCCTTGCCAAATGAGGTCACAACCAACTGGACTCCCCAACACTGCGGACTCCAACATCAAAACTTGTCTGCATCTCGGCTCTGCACCGCCATCCATCACTGCATACACAAATCCATGGTGTTTGGCAGGGTTCTGCAGCTTGTCGGCTGCTTGTGCATCAATTGGATGGATGCCCCCCTGTCAGGAACCCCTGTCACCAATGTTAACTCAAATTGCTAAAGCTCCACCGGCTACCCGAAGGCTACAAAGCCGGAATTAGTTACGTAACAAGTTTCCACATTCAGCAGGCTCGCAACAACCTGTCCGTGAGCGCCTTCTTGGGCCTTGGGTCACAAGATTAATCCTTCCAGTGATTACAGGCTGGTCTCGCTACCAAAAATTGCACCCCCGTAGACCCCAAACAGTTTTTACATATCCATTGCAGCGTCTGTGTGCATGTTTGTGGTTATACTAGCTCTGATGCTCGCAATGTTTGATCCATGTCAATTGAGAACAGCATGAATCACAAGCAAGATTGTCTCATGCCACACCCTTTCGATTTTTGCCCCGGCATTTGTACCTGAGACAATAAGAGGGAGACAAGGTAGGAGACAGGTGAGAGACAAGTGGTAAAACACAAAAAGCCATGGTGGAACATGATTTTGTCTTGAGACAACAAGAATTACAAAGGGAGTAAAGAACAGAGACAAGCACAAAACACGAATAAAGTCATGATGAAACTAGAACAGGACACCGCCACTAAGGCAGACATATGATTGGAGACAAATGGCTTCGGAGACAAATGAAGTACGAGAGAAGACACATGATGGAAGGTGAGAGACACATGATGGAAGACACACAGAGGCGAACAGGCGAAAGAGCCCGACACCACTAAGGCAGACCGATGGAGACAAATCAAGTTGGAGACAGATAAATTGGGAGACACACGGCGGGAGACACATGATGAGAGACAAGTGAAAACACAGAAAAAGACATCCGGAGAGCTGGACACCACTAGGCACACTGGGAGACAAATATATAAAGAGAAAAAAGGAAAGAGAGACATCCAGAGAGCCGGACACCACAAGCACAGAAGAGAAAAGAAAGGAGACCAATAAAGAAAGACATCTGGAGAGCCGGACACCACTAAGAAACAAGTTAGGAGAGGCACCCAGAGAGCCGGGCACCATTAGCAGACTGAGAGACACATGAAGGGAAACAAGGAAAGAGACATCCGGCGACAAATGAAGGGAGACAAGTAAAAGAGGGAGACAAGTAAAAGAGAGACACCCGGAGAGCCGAACACTACTAGGCACGCGAGTTAGGAGGGAGAGAGAGAGAGAGAGACACCCGGAGAGCAGGTCACCATAGGCACACTGGGGGAGACATGAAGGGAAACAAGGAAAGGGAGACATCCGGCGACAAATGGAAACAAGTAGGGTCAAACACCCGGAGAGCCGACACTTCTGGGCGCACAAGTTAGGAGAGACACCCGGAGAGCCGGGCACCGGGAGACACATGCAGGGAGACAATTGAAGAGAGACATCCAGAGAGCTACTAGTATAAGCACACTAGGTGACAAATCAAGGGAAATTAACCTAGCTTTGCCACCCAACAGCAGCAAGGGTTCCAACGTCTGAGATTCAAAACTGATCACCTTGCATGCTGCCACAAGGTCTTTTTTTGCAGCAGCACTCTTCACGTCCAGAAAATGGTATTCTGTGTTTTTTTTGTGGGAGACAAGAAGCAGACAAGCGGGATACCAATGCAGACAAGTGGAAGACAAGGGCGAGACAAGTGGGGGACAAACAAGTCGCAGACAAGTGGGAGACAAGTGCGAGACAAGTGGGAGACAAGTGGGGGACAAGTGGAGACAAGTGGGAGACAAGTGGCAGACAAGTGGCAGACAAGCGGCAGACAACTGGGAGACAAGAGGGAGACAATTGAGAAACAAGTGGAAGACAAATGGGACAATTGTGAGACAAGTGGGAGACAACTCGGAGACAAGTGGGAGACAAGTCGGAGACAAGTGGGAGACAAGTGGGAGACAAGCAGCAGACAAGTGGGAGACAAGTGGCAAGTAGCAGACAAGTGGGAGACAAGGTCCCAAAGTTCCCGGAACCCTGCTGCGTCCCGATCGCCAAGGAGGGAAAAATCGGGACACCACCCCCCTGCTTCTAGAGATTGAAACCCAGCAGCTTTCTGCTGTTGGGAACAAGTAAAGAGAGACATCAAGAGAGCCAGATACCACCAGTAAACAGGAGGACAGGTCTTAAGAAAGAACGGAGAACCCCAACAATAAACAGTTTGAGGAATAAAAAACAAATAGACAGACAGAGAGCGAGAGAGAGACAGAAAGAGACAGAGAGAGACGGAGAGCCGGGCACCACCAGCCAGACTGGGCACTACCGGTCATGGCAAAGAATTCTTTAGCCGAACTTTAGCCCTAATCTATGCCACTCGATGAAACTCACA